TTGCTTGGACGATTCCATCATCCGCGAGATGGACATCCACAGCGTCAAACCCCTTGTAGTTCCGCATGAACTTCTTGGAGCACGTCATGTGCTGCGTCGCCCCGGAGTCGACCAGCCAGATGTCGCTCGATTTCGCAGATGTCGTTTCACCGATCGAAAAGAGGTAGTCGCCCGAGTCTTCTTCTTGAGCGACGTTTGCACGTTGTGATCGATAGCGGTCGCCGCTGTCTTGAGCACGCTGTGGCCGGTGTCTCTCCGTGTTTTCTTGGATGCACGAGGGGCACTCCGCCATCCAGTGACCAATCTTTCCGCAATTGTGGCACGGCCAGGACTTCTTCACTGGTTGCCCTTTGCGCTGATTGTCCCTTGTGATGAACGCTTGACCTTGCGAAGCTTCATCACCTTTACTTCCTTGCTCCTTCCGCTTCATTTCTTCATGAAGCAGTCGAGACGTCACGAGCTCCCAGCTAAGAGTGTCTGAGCGCGACTCCAAAGCTGTGATCAAGAATTGATACGAGTCACTCAGGCTGCCGAGAAGTGTGATCACCAGATCGTCCTCGCAGACTGGAGCCCCCACCGCTTCTAGCTGTTCCGCCAGCGTCTTGAGCTTGTTGATGTGTTCGAGCACATCGTCGCCTTCTTCCATCATTGTCGTGAAGAAGCGACGGCGCAAGAACAGCTTGTTGGCAAGACTCTTCTTCTCGAAGTGGTCTTCCAACCTTGACCATGCGTCGCATGCACCACTTGCCGACCGGACCAACGGTAGCTGGGAATCTTCCATGGCTAGACAGATCACTGCCATCGCCTTTCTTGACTTCCTCTTGTACGTCGCTTGGTCCAACTGAGTCTCGCACTGTTCCGCCTTGATCTCACCGCTGACGACCTCCCATAGGTCCCGTTCCTCCAGCACCATCTGCATCTTGAACTTCCAGGCGTGGAAGTTAGTTCCATCGAACTTGGAGATGCGGAGGGAGGAGGCGTCCATGGCAGCTAAGCTTGAATTGTTGGCGGTTTCAGAGTCTGACGAACTTGGGCTCATAACCTGATGAACTTTAGACTTCTTGGTCCGAGTGCAAAACGCAAAGTGAATATATATTTATAATAGGTACTTAGTTCGCAACTTTGAATACTACCTCTAAGCCTATTATTCGCAGTGACGTCATCCAGTGACGTCACCCACTGACGTCACCCACTGACGTCATGCAATGACGTCATCCAGTGACGTCACCCACTGACGTCATCCAATGACGTCATTTCCTGACTTCGCCCTTACTGGTACATACCGGTACCCACCGGTATAGCGAAGCTTGGTCTTTCACTTGCTTCAACACTTGACGCAGGTTGACGAGGTGTCTTCTTCACAGCCGCTGTCTTTTCAACAGATGCATCTGACGACTGCAAAACGACCGGACATTGCCTATGCTGTGAGCTTTGTGTCGCGCTTCGTGGAGGTCCCCAAGAAGAACACTGGGTTGCGGTCAAGCGCATCTTTCGCTACCTACAAGACACCAAGATGCATGGAATATGCTCCAAGCCAAGTGCAAGGATCGACTTTCGTGGCTATTCGGACGCAGACTGGGACGGCGACCTTACTGATCGCAAGTCAACGTCTGGCTACGTCTTCATGCTATTGGGTGCTCCAGTGAGTTGGGTCAGCAAGAAGCAGCCAAGTGTGTCACTGTCTACAAGTGAAGCGGAGTACATTGCGCTAAGTCTGGCGATTCAAGAAGGCAAGTGGATCCACCGCTTACTGTGCGAGATCATGGCAGCTGCTAATGAGGACGGACCCGATCTCATGGTCCGAGAAGAAAACTAGTCCTGCATCAAAATGACCAAGAATCCGGTCAACCACGGCCGCGCCAAACACAGTGATATCAAATACCATCACATTCGCGATGAAGTCAAGCGCGGTGAAGTGAAGCTTGAATAATGCGAGACGACGGTGATGTCGGCAGACATTATGACCAAGGGAATTCACGGACCGCGCCACAAGGACTTAACGGTGGCGCTAGGCATCTGAGCTCGTTTTGATTGAGGGAACGTGTTGACGGTCATCGGTTTTCTACGAGTATTGGTAACCTTGACCGGTTCAATCTGAACCGCCTACTCAGCTTTTACGACGTAGTTCTTACGGTAATTACCCATAGTTGATTAAACGCGTCGGATGATGAGACGCTTCACATGATTTATATGTACACCAATGTAAATCATGTAGTTAGTAGTAAGCCTCGATAATCAATCACTTCCGAATCTTCCAACTCGTGAGCAAGTGTCTTCTGCTCTACTCTCTTCAGCCTCTCCGCACCCTTCGCTCCGCTCTTTGCAATGCAACAGGTTATGAGTCCGAGCGCCATGTCGTAAACCACCAACTCATCATCCAACGCCTCCATTGATAAGTTCAATGGAGACAACTATGCGACTTGGAGTCGATACATGCGCGGTGTGTTTTTGAAGAAGTCCGTCTGGTACGTCGTGAACCGTGAAACGACTCCGACTTTCACCGACCCTCGAGCGCCCGATGACTACGTCAAGGCGAGCAATGTCACATTTGGTATGATGCTGCTGCACATGAATGCGGATTACCACCATGTGCTTGACAAATTCGAGGAAGCGTGTGTTGCGTGGACAAGTCTGAAGACGCTGTACGGTAGGTCGCAGAAGGCAGAACGCATCTTCTTTAATCGGCGACTTTTCAGCATCAAGATGGATGAAGGCTCGTCTAAAAATAAGTGGAGTTTTGACGAGCAAGGACATGTCTGGAATGGACCGTCGTGAAACGCACCACATTTGCCACGACAAAAACAAGTTTACAGCTTGGTCAAAGGAAACGATGGCGAGATCCTGGTGGATGATGGTATCAAGCGGCCATCGAGGGTGTGGGATCCATCATTGAAAAGGTGGTTCTGTCCAACGGTGAAGAGCGCGAGATCAAGATCAAGAAAGCGTTATATGCTCGAAGTATTATCAAGAACCTTCTTTCGGTGCCACAGATCAACACGCATGGCAAGTTCCAAGTCGTGTTTAACGGGTCCAAGATGTATGTGACTCTCAAGAACTCACAGCAAGTGGTGGCGACAGCGGATCTTGTGGATGGACTTTACTGGCTTCGTACGACTCAACGATCAGTGAATGTGACAACAAGTGGAAACAGTTGTGCTGACCTACATTCGCGAATGGGTCATGCTCCAGTCGATGTACTGCGCAAGATGATCACGACCAACATGATCAAGGATGTGCGAGTCCCTCTGAAGTCGGGTGGAGCAACTGCATGTTGAGGGTTCCAACAAGGTAAAATGGTCTAAAAACCATTCCCAATCAACCGCGACAAGCGTAACTACGATACGTTCGAGCTGCTTCATCTAGACATCTGTGTGCTCATGAAAAACGAATCGATCGGTGGCCGCAGAAATCTGCTAGTGATCGTAGACGAAGCCAGTGGATGTGTGAAGGGTTTTTTACGAGTGAAGTCCGAGAGTGAAGACTACATCCGGAAATATTTAACCATGGTACAGACGCTGTTCAGTAAGAAGGTCAAGTTTGTGCGACACGACGGAGCTCGCGAGTTCGCAACCCACTCGCTTCGATTGTTCTACGAAGATGAAGGCATTGAAAAGCAGACAACGGTGCATATGCGCATCAAGCAAACGGAACAGCAGAGCGTGCCATTAGGACTATTGTCACGATCGGCCGCAGCATGCTTCATCATGCCAAACTGGACAAGTGTTCCTGGGCTGAAGCAGCGATGACGGCCATCTACGTCAAGAATCGACTGCCGCCGCCTAAAGATGTACACAAGACCCCGTTTGAGATTGTCTACAACTCGAAACCAAGCGTCGAGCACATGCGAGCATTTGGATGTCAGACATACATACTGACGCGAAAGAGAATCGACTCAAGTGGGATCCAAAGGCTGGCGCTGGCATGCTCGTGGGCTACGAAGAAGCGTCGAAGGCGTATCAAGTTTATGACGTTGAGGCGGGGAAGGTGGTCGTCAATCGTGATGTCAACTTCGACGAATCCACCTGTGGACTTCCACCACCGATCACTGATGAAGGTGCCGATGACCTGGAATTCAAATTACTCAATGATGAAGAGCCGCGTCAGGTAGAGTACAAGCAAACAGGCAAGCGCAAGAGCCGCCTCGATGATGAAGATGCTGTTGAAAAAGACAGCGGCTGTGAAGAAGACACCTCGTCAAGCTGCGTCAAGTGTTGAAGCAAGTGGAAGACCAAGCTTCGCTATACCGGTGGGTACCGGTATGTACCAGTAAGGGCGAAGTCAGGAAATGACGTCATTGGATGACGTCAGTGGGTGACGTCACTGGATGACGTCACTGCGAATAATAGGCTTAGAGGTAGTATTCAAAGTTGCGAACTAAGTACCTATTATAAATATATATTCACTTTGCGTTTTGCACTCGGACCAAGAAGTCTAAAGTTCATCAGGTTATGAGCCCAAGTTCGTCAGACTCTGAAACCGCCAACAATTCAAGCTTAGCTGCCATGGACGCCTCCTCCCTCCGCATCTCCAAGTTCGATGGAACTAACTTCCACGCCTGGAAGTTCAAGATGCAGATGGTGCTGGAGGAACGGGACCTATGGGAGGTCGTCAGCGGTGAGATCAAGGCGGAACAGTGCGAGACTCAGTTGGACCAAGCGACGTACAAGAGGAAGTCAAGAAAGGCGATGGCAGTGATCTGTCTAGCCATGGAAGATTCCCAGCTACCGTTGGTCCGGTCGGCAAGTGGTGCATGCGACGCATTGCCAAGGTTGGAAGACCACTTCGAGAAGAAGAGTCTTGCCAACAAGCTGTTCTTGCGCCGTCGCTTCTTCACGACGATGATGGAAGAAGGCGACGATGTGCTCGAACACATCAACAAGCTCAAGACGCTGGCGGAACAGCTAGAAGCGGTGGGGGCTCCAGTCTGCGAGGACGATCTGGTGATCACACTTCTCGGCAGCCTGAGTGACTCGTATCAATTCTTGATCACAGCTTTGGAGTCGCGCTCAGACACTCTTAGCTGGGAGCTCGTGACGTCTCGACTGCTTCATGAAGAAATGAAGCGGAAGGAGCAAGGAAGTAAAGGTGATGAAGCTTCGCAAGGTCAAGCGTTCATCACAAGGGACAATCAGCGCAAAGGGCGACCAGTGAAGAAGTCCTGGCCGTGCCACAATTGCGGAAAGATTGGTCACTGGATGGCGGAGTGCCCCTCGCGCATCCAAGAAAACACGGAGAGACACCGGCCACAGCGTGCTCAAGACAGCGGCGACCGCTATCGATCACAACGTGCAAACGTCGCTCAAGAAGAAGACTCGGGCGACTACCTTTTTCGATCGGTGAAACGACATCTGCGAAATCGAGCGACATCTGGCTGGTCGACTCCGGGGCGACGCAGCACATGACGTGCTCCAAGAAGTTCATGCGGAACTACAAGGGGTTTGACGCTGTGGATGTCCATCTCGCGGATGATGGAATCGTCCAAGCAATCGGCAGTGGGGACATTGTCATGTCGATGAAGACACCCCAAGGGATGAAGAAAGGTGTGCTCACAAACGTGTGGCACATCCCAAAGTTATCCAGAAACCTGTTCTCGGTCGGCCGCTTCACCAAGGATGTCGGCCCAGTGACGTTCACGAAGGATGGGTGCTATGGAGAAGCGAAAGGGACCAAGTGGAAAATTGGTGCCCGTGAAGTTAAAGGACTGTTCAAGCTGCAAATGACTCCAGTGGCGCCGGAACAAGCAAATGCAGCCAAGTCGTCGGGATGTCAAGGGGGCACCAAGTCGTACCTCTGGCACCTTCGGCTTGGCCACATAGGTCACGATGGACTCAATTGCATCGTGACGAAGAACATTGGAATTGGCATCGACATATCTTCGGTGAAGAAGTGGGACGTGTGTGAAGGTTGTGCTCTGGGAAAACAGACTCGAGTGCGCTTCCAATCAAACACTACAGCTCGCACCTCCAAACTCCTCGAAGTGATTCACAGCGACGTATGCGGGCCGATGTCGATGGCAACTTTCAGTGGAAAACGGTACTTCGTGACATTCATCGATGACAAGTCAAGATACTGTGTCGTCTATCTGCTCAAGAGCAAATCTGAAGTTGCGGCGAAGTTCATGGAATACGCTGCGATGGCCGAAACGCAAACCGGAAAGCGCGTGAAGTACCTTCAAAGCGACAATGGGGGTGAATACAAGTCCGACAAGCTGGCACGATTCTGCGCGGAACGGGGAATACAACAAAGGTTCACAACCCCATATACTCCTCAGCTAAACGGAGTAGCTGAGAGAATGAATCGCACGCTGGTCGAGTGTGCGCGTTGCATGATGGAACACGCTGGACTGGGAAAGAGCTACTGGGGTGAAGCAGTGATGACGGCGATGTTTCTTCGAAACCGCTGTCCAACACGTGCCATTCACCAAGACAAGTCTCCATATCAAGTGTGGACGATGAAGAAACCGATTCTGGCCAACCTTAAAGTGTTTGGATGCCACGCGTATGTTCAAGTGCCTCAAGACAAACGCGCGAAGTTCGACTCCAAGTCATCACTCTGTCGTTTCCTGGGATACGCCGAACACCAGAAGTCATATCGATTTGAGGAAGTGTCAACAGGAGCGATCAAGATCAGTCGCGATGCCACATTCATGGAAGACAAGTTTGATGAAGGTCCGCGCAACTACAACGATGAGTCAAGTGCCGTTGAGTTTGATGATCAAGACGAGGACGAAGAAAAAGAAGAAGGTAAAACTGACGACGACATGGACTCGAGCGACGATGACAACGAAGACACCAGGTCTTCGAAGAGCAACATCAACAGACACACGCGCACTCAATCACTTGAGAAAGCTACCGTCATTCCAAGTCCCAAGCGAAGAACGTACAGAGGTCCGTCGCTTGAGCATGTGTCAGCGGCTGCAATGGATTTTGAAGCAGCCTACATCGTTGATTCAGTGGGGGAAACGCCGACTACATTCAAGTCGGCGATGGAATCAAGCGACTCCGGCAAGTGGAAAGAAGCGTGTGACTCGGAGTTCGACTCGCTTCAGAGAAACGACACGTGGGAAATCGTGCCTCTTCCGAAAGGTCGCAAGGCCATCGGGTGCCGATGGGTTTTTCGTGTAAAGGAGAATCAAGATGGCGAAGTTGAACGTTTCAAGGCAAGACTTGTGGCCAAAGGATTCTCACAGAAATTCGGAGTTGACTATGAAGAAACTTTCGCACCGGTGGCCAAGTTCACATCGATTCGTGTGGTGCTCAGTATGGCGGCCAAGTACGGCCTAATGCTACATCAGATGGACGTCAAGACAGCGTTTCTTAACGGCTCCCTCAACGAAGACATCTACATGGACCAGCCGGACGGATACCTGGATGCAACACAGCCGGACTATGTGTGCAAGCTAAAGAGATCACTCTACGGCTTGAAGCAATCGCCTCGCATGTGGAACCAAACAATCGATGGGTTCATGATCAAGATGGGATTCAAGAAGTGCGAATCGGACCACTGCATCTACATCAAGCGAGACGACCAAGACATGATTCTCGTGGTGCTCTACGTCGATGATCTCATCCTGGCCAGCAGCAACAATGAACTCCTCAAGTCGACCAAGATGGCGCTGAGCAAACGCTTCGAAATGACGGATCTCGGTGAGCTCGATTACTTTCTCGGCATGGAGATCAAGAACGACCGTAAGACGGGAATGGTGACTGTGCAACAAACCAAGTTTCTCAAGTCCGTGTTGACCAAGTTCGGAATGGATAACAGCAAGCCAGTGAAGACGCCTCAAGATCCCGGCCTGAAGCTAACCAAGAACATGTGTGAACAAGAATGCAAGCACGAAGACACCATGTGCAACGTGCCATATCGAAGTGCTGTCGGAGGCATCATGTATCTCATGGTCGCCACACGTCCGGATCTAGCTGCTGCAGTGGGATCATTATCCCAGTTCTCGTCCGAGCCATGCCCGACTCACTGGCAAGCTTTGAAGCGTGTGCTGAGATACCTGCAAGCAACGCCCAATCATGGTCTTGAGTTTACACGTGAAGAAGGAAGCCGTATCTGCGGGTACACCGACGCAGACTGGGCCGGCGACATTGAGTCAAGACGAAGTACAAGCGGCTATGTGTTCATGATGAACGGAGGATGCATCAGCTGGAAAAGCCAGAAACAACGGACGGTCGCGCTATCTTCAACAGAAGCAGAATACATGGCGCTTTCCAAAGCAACCAAAGAAGCAGTATGGCTCAAGGTGCTTTTGGGGGAACTTGGTGAGATGACAAGCGACGAAGCGATCAAGATGTATGAAGACAACCAAGGATCAATCGCTCTCGCCAAGAACCCGGAGTTCCATAAGAGAACAAAACACATCGACATACGCTACCATTTTGTGCGTGAGAAGGTGGAATCAGGTGAAGTCGTTTTGGAGTATTGCCCGACTCAAGATATGCTGGCAGACATGATGACCAAGCCGATCGCCGCTGTACAATTTGAAAACATTCGCGATCGACTTGGGATCCAAGGTGCCGCAGCTAACGAGTCGAGAGGGAGTGTTGAAAAGACAGCGGCTGTGAAGAAGACACCTCGTCAAGCTGCGTCAAGTGTTGAAGCAAGTGGAAGACCAAGCTTCGCTATACCGGTGGGTACCGGTATGTACCAGTAAGGGCGAAGTCAGGAAATGACGTCATTGGATGACGTCAGTGGGTGACGTCACTGGATGACGTCATTGCATGACGTCAGTGGGTGACGTCAGTGGGTGACGTCACTGGATGACGTCACTGCGAATAATAGGCTTAGAGGTAGTATTCAAAGTTGCGAACTAAGTACCTATTATAAATATATATTCACTTTGCGTTTTGCACTCGGACCAAGAAGTCTAAAGTTCATCAGCATCAAAGCACCAACAGCTTCACGGAATGGAACATCGATCTTGTGGTAAAGTCGATCTCACAAAATTGCTTGTATGAGTGTCGATCTTCCACTTGCCCAGACTTGCCGACTCACGGAGGGGGTACTCCGATCCGTGCCTTGTTGTATGACCTTGTGCTCACCTTGTGTACCCGTCGGTTGGGCTGGCTTGAGCTCTTCGTAACGGCCTTGGGAGATGTCGATCTCGCTGAGAGGTTGGGTTGAGGGTTCGCTTCCGGTGCGGAAATCTTCACACCACGAACGGGGGTTCTGCGATCCCGATCTTGGATCGCACCGATCTTGATTTGTCTTCGAGATCGGGGTCTTTGCTGTGCGGAAATCTTCACTCAGCAAATAAAAGTCCTGCGTCGATCTTGCCTTGGGATCGGTCCGATCTGGTCTTGGGATCGGCCGATCTTGCCGGAAGTGCGCAATTTGGGTAGATCGGTGTCTTGTTTCGCCAAAATGAAACGTGCCGATCTGTCCAGGGGATCGCTTCGATCCTGCTCGGTCTTGTCTTGAACGCCTTGTCCAGATCTTCTTACCACTTGAGCCGTCTCGCGATCCTGTGTCCAAAATCCTTTTCCTTTTCCGTTGTGTGCTGCTACCCTAGCAGTTGAGTTGAGTGTGAGTACTTGATCGATCCGGGCCAGATATCCCGGGATCGCTCTTCTCGATCTTGGCCAACAATCCAAGATCGGTCTTCTGTGTCCCTGTAACACGCGTGCCTTAACCCGCCGGGGAAGCCAAATCAATCTTGCCTGGAGAAGAGGGGAGGATAACGTGCGTCGTGAGCAGAAGAAGTAGAGTTCAAGTCTGTTTATTAACCAACCAAATTACTATCAAACCTACCCTTAAGCCTATTCTTAACTATAGGTCACTCTTCAAACCGATATTGCCTTGAATCTGGATCGCCCCCTTGCCACGTGTCGAAATTTCGTGCCCTGTACTCCAATGATAGCGCCAATATTCCCGATACCGTACCTGAACGCCAAAAGAGGACCAAATCCCAAATGGGGTACCAAATACCCATTTTGGGTACCCAAAAGCCCAAAATAGTGCCCAAATGCCGAAGGCGTCTAAATCCATTTTGCGACGTCAATTTAACCGGCTTCCACTGGCTCTTTCGATCTGAACTTTTGAGACATCACTCATGGACCTTCAACAAGCATGTTTGTCATGATCCAAAATTCTCATCAACGATACATCCATAATCAGTGGGGATCATGACCGATCTGATGCCCAATTCGAGATTGTTGAGGATCGACACAGTACAATCCGGCCATATATGTTCTTCCGTTCATTGTGTGCACTCCGATGCTTTATCAAAATGATTCTGCTTCAACATCCACATCCTTGCCTCTGATCAGCCTTCAGAGTGGTCGTTCCGTTCAATCCAGTCCCTCATCCCAGATCGCACCGTGGAAATCACCCCTTGCTACGCCCCGTCTCAAACCACGTCGCATCGCCTGTTCCCAGGCGTACTTTTCTCAAATGATTCTGCTTCAACATCCACATCCTTTCCTTTGATCAGCCTTTAGAGTGGTCGTTCGGTTCAATCCAGTCCCTCGTCCCAGATCGCACCGTTGGAATCACCCCTTTCTACGCCCCGTCTCAAATCACGTTGCATCGCCTGGTCCTAGGCGTACCTCTTCCGCCAGTGGGTGACATCTTAACTGGGTGGACACCGATCCACGTCCCATCATTTGATTAGTGACTTTACCACAGTTACACCTTCGTCGCAGAGTCATATCCCATCACCCGGTCCCAGATCCTTGTCCCAGATTGTTCCATGTAAATCGTTCCAGATCGCTCCGTCCCAGGTCGATCCATACCCATTAGTCTAACGACAGTTGGATCGGTTCGCCGATCCCGTTAAGATCATCTTCCACCTCCGTATTGGATCGCCGAGTCTCATGGCCTCCTTTTCCACCAGTAAGCGGCGCTTTAAAGATGTGGCCACCGATCCTCGTACAAAATTTGAGTAGTGACTTTGCCACAACCGCTTCCTGCACTGAAGTCTTTTGTACAGCAATTGACCTCAGTACAGTCACTCATCAACTTCGTTCCAAGCACTCAAGTCCGTCTCATGGTCTCTCCGACGCATCCACCCACCTCGCCGATCTCTTCAGAAGGATCCACCATGTTTCTGTCTCCGGATCGCGACCTGTCGCCCGGATCGCCCGATCTCGGAGGACACACCCCAGCGGTCCCCGATCGGCCTGGGTCTCCGCGCCATCTAGATCATCCCGGATCGCAGATCCCTCGTCTGCAGGACAAGTTCAAACCTGCTCCATCGTCTTAGTCCAAGGTCGATATCCAAGCCCGATCGTCTTTCACAATCGTGTAAGTCATTCAATCATCTTCTTTTTGGTACTTCAATTCTTTGCAGCTTCCACGATCTCGATCCTCATCGCTCCACATCATTCAGGAAGGTAACTCACTTGACTATATCCATACTCACATACAAAAACCTCATCCACCAGCATGTGCTACCGTCTAGCACATCTTTCAACCCCTACATCCGCATATGCTACCTCCCGCATACTTGTTCGAACTGTTAAGGTTCGTCCGACTTGCCTTCATGAGACTGCATTGCGTCGAAACGGTTTCGACTCACTCGGTTCCACTCAAACTCTTGCAAGATCGCCCCACAACTTAGATCGGCCTCGTCCGCCCAACTTAGATCGGGATATCCCTTCCACTTCACCAGAAACTGCCGGTGTACTCGCCCATAACGGGTTTTTCTACCAGATCGCACGTCCAATATTGCCTCTACTTCGTATTCCCCTTCTTCAAGATCGCCATCCCAACTGTCTTCTGGCAGCAGAGCTTCATCGAAATCCAAGCGATCTGATTCCTCTATCGTAAGCTGATCCTTCGGGCGTTCAGGGAACGTCTTTACCTTTTTTAGCTTCGATATATGTACAATCGGAAATAACCGATATGGGTTTCCAGCGATCTCCAATTTTACAGCATGATCTCCACATACGTCCGCAACTCGGAATGGCCCATGCCACATGTGCGCTAGCTTCTTCGCATATCCCTCTTTAACTCGGTCCAGGTATAGCCAAACTTGCGCTCCTACTTCGATCTCGTGTGGTTCCCGATCTTCGTTGTGTCGATCTGCTCGCTCCTGGATCGCGGCTTGTAAACGATCGTTCACTGCAGATCGGGCTCGCAGGTATTGTCTTTGGATTTTGTATCTCCACCTCTTTGGATCGCGATCTCGTGTCCCCGTATTCCCCACTGGTAGCGTAGCCTCCAAAGTCGATCGCGGGTCCAACCCATAAATCAGATATAACGGAATATCCCCCCGGATCCGATCTTGTGCAGTGTTAACGGCAAATGTGAGCCGTGATGAACTTTAGACTTCTTGGTCCGAGTGCAAAACGCAAAGTGAATATATATTTATAATAGGTACTTAGTTCGCAACTTTGAATACTACCTCTAAGCCTATTATTCGCAGTGACGTCATCCAGTGACGTCACCCACTGACGTCACCCACTGACGTCATGCAATGACGTCATCCAATGACGTCATTTCCTGACTTCGCCCTTACTGGTACATACCGGTACCCACCGGTATAGCGAAGCTTGGTCTTCCACTTGCTTCAACACTTGACGCAGCTTGACGAGGTGTCTTCTTCACAGCCGCTGTCTTTTCAACACTCCCTCTCGACTCGTTAGCTGCGGCACCTTGGATCCCAAGTCGATCGCGAATGTTTTCAAATTGTACAGCGGCGATCGGCTTGGTCATCATGTCTGCCAGCATATCTTGAGTCGGGCAATACTCCAAAACGACTTCACCTGATTCCACCTTCTCACGCACAAAATGGTAGCGTATGTCGATGTGTTTTGTTCTCTTATGGAACTCCGGGTTCTTGGCGAGAGCGATTGATCCTTGGTTGTCTTCATACATCTTGATCGCTTCGTCGCTTGTCATCTCACCAAGTTCCCCCAAAAGCACTTTGAGCCATACTGCTTCTTTGGTTGCTTCGGAAAGCGCCATGTATTCTGCTTCTGTTGAAGATAGCGCGACCGTCCGTTGTTTCTGGCTTTTCCAGCTGATGCATCCTCCGCTCATCATGAACACATAGCCGCTTGTACTTCGTCTTGACTCAATGTCGCCGGCCCAGTCTGCGTCGGTGTACCCGCAGATACGGCTTCCTTCTTCACGTGTAAACTCAAGACCATGATTGGGCGTTGCTTGCAGGTATCTCAGCACACGCTTCAAAGCTTGCCAGTGAGTCGGGCATGGGTCGGACGAGAACTGGGATAATGATCCCACTGCAGCAGCTAGATCCGGACGTGTGGCGACCATGAGATACATGATGCCTCCGACAGCACTTCGATATGGCACGTTGCACATGGTGTCTTCGTGCTTGCATTCTTGTTCACACATGTTCTTGGTTAGCTTCAGGCCGGGATCTTGAGGCGTCTTCACTGGCTTGCTGTTATCCATTCCGAACTTGGTTAACACGGACTTGAGAAACTTGGTTTGTTGCACAGTCACCATTCCCGTCTTACGGTCGTTCTTGATCTCCATGCCGAGAAAGTAATCGAGCTCACCGAGATCCGTCATTTCGAAGCGTTTGCTCAGCGCCATCTTGGTCGACTTGAGGAGTTCGTTGTTGCTGCTGGCCAGGATGAGATCATCGACGTAGAGCACCACGAGAATCATGTCTTGGTCGTCTCGCTTGATGTAGATGCAGTGGTCCGATTCGCACTTCTTGAATCCCATCTTGATCATGAACCCATCGATTGTTTGGTTCCACATGCGAGGCGATTGCTTCAAGCCGTAGAGTGATCTCTTTAGCTTGCACACATAGTCCGGCTGTGTTGCATCCAGGTATCCGTCCGGCTGGTCCATGTAGATGTCTTCGTTGAGGGAGCCGTTAAGAAACGCTGTCTTGACGTCCATCTGATGTAGCATTAGGCCGTACTTAGCCGCCATACTGAGCACCACACGAATCGATGTGAACTTGGCCACCGGTGCGAAAGTTTCTTCATAGTCAACTCCGAATTTCTGTGAGAATCCTTTGGCCACAAGTCTTGCCTTGAAACGTTCAACTTCGCCATCTTGATTCTCCTTTACACGAAAAACCCATCGGCACCCGATGGCCTTGCGACCTTTCGGAAGAGGCACGATTTCCCACGTGTCGTTTCTCTGAAGCGAATCGAACTCCGAGTCACACGCTTCTTTCCACTTGCCGGAGTCGCTTGATTCCATCGCCGACTTGAATGTAGTCGGCGTTTCCCCACTGAATCAACGATGTAGGCTGCTTCAAAATCCATTGCAGCCGCTGACACATGCTCAAGCGACGGACCTCTGTATGTTCTTCGCTTGGGACTTGGAATGACGGTAGCTTTCTCAAGTGATTGAGTGCGCGTGTGTCTGTTGATGTTGCTCTTCGAAGACCTGGTGTCTTCGTTGTCATCGTCGCTCGAGTCCATGTCGTCGTCAGTTTTACCTTCTTCTTTTTCTTCGTCCTCATCATGATCATCAAACTCAACGACACTTGACTCATCGTTGTAGTTGCGCGGACCTTCATCAAACTTGTCTTCCATGAATGTGGCATCGCGACTGATCTTGATCGCTCCTGTTGACACTTCCTCAAATCGATATGACTTCTGGTGTTCGGCGTATCCCAGGAAACGACAGAGTGATGACTTGGAGTCGAACTTCGCGCGTTTGTCTTGAGGCACTTGAACATACGCGTGGCATCCAAACACTTTAAGGTTGGCCAGAATCGGTTTCTTCATCGTCCACACTTGATATGGAGACTTGTCTTGGTGAATGGCACGTGTTGGACAGCGGTTTCGAAGAAACATCGCCGTCATCACTGCTTCACCCCAGTAGCTCTTTCCCAGTCCAGCGTGTTCCATCATGCAACGCGCACACTCGACCAGCGTGCGATTCATTCTCTCAGCTACTCCGTTTAGCTGAGGAGTATATGGGGGGTGTGAACCTTTGTTGTATTCCCCGTTCCGCGCAGAATCGTGCCAGCTTGTCGGACTTGTATTCACCCCCATTGTCGCTTTGAAGGTACTTCACGCGCTTTCCGGTTTGCGTTTCGGCCATCGCAGCGTATTCCATGAAATTCGCCGCAACTTCAGATTTGCTCTTGAGCAGATAGACGACACAGTATCTTGACTTGTCATCAATGAATGTCACGAAGTACCGTTTTCCACTGAAAGTTGCCATCGACATCGGTCCGCATACGTCGCTGTGAATCACTCCGAGGAGTTTGGAGGTGCGAGCTGTAGTGTTTGATTGGAAGCGCACTCGAGTCTGTTTTCCCAGAGCACAGCCTTCACACACGTCCCACTTCTTCACCGAAGATATGTCGATGCCAATTCCAATGTTCTTCGTCACGATGCAATTGAGTCCATCGTGACCTATGTGGCCAAGCCGAAGGTGCCAGAGGTACGACTTGGTGCCCCCTTGACATCCCGACGACTTGGCTGCATTTGCTTGTTCCGGCGCCACTGGAGTCATTTGCAGCTTGAACAGTCCTTTAACTTCACGGGCACCAATTTTCCACTTGGTCCCTTTCGCTTCTCCATAGCACCCATCCTTCGTGAACGTCACTGGGCCGACATCCTTGGTGAAGCGGCCGACCGAGAACAGGTTTCTGGATAACTTTGGGATGTGCCACACGTTTGTGAGCACACCTTTCTTCATCCCTTGGGGTGTCTTCATCGACATGACAATGTCCCCACTGCCGATTGCTTGGACGATTCCATCATCCGCGAGATGGACATCCACAGCGTCAAACCCCTTGTAGTTCCGCATGAACTTCTTGGAGCACGTCATGTGCTGCGTCGCCCCGGAGTCGACCAGCCAGATGTCGCTCGATTTCGCAGATGTCGTTTCACCGATCGAAAAGAGGTAGTCGCCCGAGTCTTCTTCTTGAGCGACGTTTGCACGTTGTGATCGATAGCGGTCGCCGCTGTCTTGAGCACGCTGTGGCCGGTGTCTCTCCGTGTTTTCTTGGATGCGCGAGGGGCACTCCGCCATCCAGTGACCAATCTTTCCGCAATTGTGGCACGGCCAGGACTTCTTCACTGGTTGCCCTTTGCGCTGATTGTCCCTTGTGATGAACGCTTGACCTTGCGAAGCTTCATCACCTTTACTTCCTTGCTCCTTCCGCTTCATTTCTTCATGAAGCAGTCGAGACGTCACGAGCTCCCAGCTAAGAGTGTCTGAGCGCGACTCCAAAGCTGTGATCAAGAATTGATACGAGTCACTCAGGCTGCCGAGGAGTGTGATCACCAGATCGTCCTCGCAGACTGGAGCCCCCACCGCTTCTAGCTGTTCCGCCAGCGTCTTGAGCTTGTTGATGTGTTCGAGCACATCGTCGCCTTCTTCCATCATTGTCGTGAAGAAGCGACGGCGCAAGAACAGCTTGTTGGCAAGACTCTTCTTCTCGAAGTGGTCTTCCAACCTTGACCATGCGTCGCATGCACCACTTGCCGACCGGACCAACGGTAGCTGGGAATCTTCCATGGCTAGACAGATCACTGCCATCGCCTTTCTTGACTTCCTCTTGTACGTCGCTTGGTCCAACTGAGTCTCGCACTGTTCCGCCTTGATCTCACCGCTGACGACCTCCCATAGGTCCCGTTCCTCCAGCACCATCTGCATCTTGAACTTCCAGGCGTGGAAGTTAGTTCCATCGAACTTGGAGATGCGGAGGGAGGAGGCGTCCATGGCAGCTAAGCTTGAATTGTTGGCGGTTTCAGAGTCTGACGAACTTGGGCTCATAACCTGATGAACTTTAGACTTCTTGGTCCGAGTGCAAAACGCAAAGTGAATATATATTTATAATAGGTACTTAGTTCGCAACTTTGAATACTACCTCTAAGCCTATTATTCGCAGTGACGTCATCCAGTGACGTCACCCACTGACGTCACCCACTGACGTCATGCAATGACGTCATCCAGTGACGTCATTTCCTGACTTCGCCCTTACTGGTACATACCGGTACCCACCGGTATAGCGAAGCTTGGTCTTCCACTTGCTTCAACACTTGACGCAGCTTGACGAGGTGTCTTCTTCACAGCCGCTGTCTTTTCAACAAGCCGCTCAGCATACTCATCCCAGTCTCGCTGGTCAACTTCAGCCACGTACATCTTGAGCGAATGTGTCAGGGTTTGCACCATTCGTTCGGCTGTTCCATTTGCTTGTGGCCTGTAAGCCATAGTAGCACGCTGTTTTTGTCCTACGATCCGACTGAAGGCTCGAAAGAAGTCGAACATAAATCCCGGTTCTCGATCGTGCCTGATAGCCTCGCTAGCTCCGAAGCGTCGAAACACACATTCTTCGTAATTCTCCGCTATTGTTTGTGCCGTCCGATAGGAGCTAGCCTTTGCAATCACATATCCCGAGAAAAGGTCGACCCAAATGAGCAGTTCGGTGTTTCCCTTGATGGACTTGGGCAACGACGGTATATGATCCATGGCGATGATCTGGAATGGATAGGTTGCGTGTAGATTGCCCGGGGATTTCCCATGAATCATCGGGTTTCCTTTCCCGGTCTCACAGTCGGTACATTCGCCCACATATCGTTGAACGCTCCGATACAGTCCTCTCCAATGAAATCGCGATCTGATCCTCTGATAGGTTCGGCCAATACCCTGATGGCCTCCTTCCAGACTCGTGTGATAGCGATGCAAAAAATCCTGCTGCAACGTCTCAGGGATCACCAACCGCATCAAACCATCGCGATCTTCTGACTCTCTTTTCGCCATGGGGCAAAAAAATAGCAGATTGTTCTCATCGATCTCGTATTCCGGCGCCAGTTTGGCGCACATCTTCACTTCTACCGCATCCAAGTTTGATACATCGCCACTTAGATTGACAATCCAACGCTCTTCATCTTGAGCTTGGACAATTCGTTGAATCCTGATCCTCTGTACTATCTCCTCCTGTATCACTTCAGGTTCATGACGTATCCTCCTGGCTGATCTCGTGATCGCAGTTACCCGAGCCAGCTGACCATCTTGCTTGGGCTTCAACAATTCATCGAGACGGTTCAGAGTCATCAGATCTTGCCGATCCTCTTCAGCTACAACCGTTCTTCCCTTTTCGCTCTGCAATGCTGTGCTGGCTAGTCGATCTGCGCTCTGATTCCACTCTCGCTTCACATGCAGAAACTCGTGACTAGGCCATGACCGCAGCTTCTCCAACGCTTTGTGTCTCAGAAGCTGAAGGCCGGTGCCTTGCAGTCGATCTCACCGCGCATCTGTCGAATCACCAGACTGGAATCTCCTCACAGTATTACTCGCCCCCTATCCAGATCGGCGAGTAACTCAAAGCACAGTAGCAAGCCATTATACTCAGCTTCATTCACAGTCAGATCGTGAACATATCTCGATTCGGCCGCCACGATCGTCCATTCGGGTAACTTCCATATCACAGCACTGAACGACCCTCCTTTCTTTTTTATCCTAGCCGATTGTTGACGGTCATCGGTTTCTACCAGTATTGGTAACCGTGACCGGTCCAATCCGAACCGCCTGTTCAGCTTAGTATTTACGACGTAGTTCTTACGGTAATTACCATAGTTGATTAGACGCGTAGGATGATGAGACGCTTCACATGATTTATATGTGCACCACATATAAATCATGTAGTAAGTAGTAAGCCCCGATAATCAATCACTTTCCAATCTTCCATCTAAACCCCAAGTGTCTTCTCCGGTCTTCCGAGTAGACTCCCAGCATCACTCCCAGTTTCGGTCGTCAAGCTTTTCACCATTCAACAGGTTATGAGCCCAAGCACGATGTCCTCTGCTCATGATGCCACCACCAAGATCTCCATCGACAAGTTCGACGGCGACAACTACGCGACGTGGAGCCGCTACATGCGTGGCGTGTTCCTGACCAAGTCGGCGTGGCACGTGGTGAACCGGGAGACCACCCCCACCTTCGCCGATCCTCGCGCCAGTGACGACTACGTCAAGACGAACAACATTGCGTTCGGCTTGATGCTTCTGCACATGAGCGCGGATTATCATCACGTGGTTGATGACTGTGAAGAGGCGTGGGTCGCGTGGGCGCGTTTGAAGACGCTGTACGGCGGGTCGCAGAAGGCTGGACGCATCTACTTGAAGCGCCAGCTGTTCAGCATGGAGATGGCGGAAGGCGGCAATGTGATGCATCATTGCAACGAAGTCCTCAACATCAGCGCGAAGCTCAGCAGCATCGGCGCCAAGATGGAGGACGAGGACGTGGCGATCTGCTTGTTGCGCAGCCTCCCCAAGAGCTACGAGAACGTCGTTCTCAACTTGGAGATGAGCAGCGCGGAACTGCGATCGCGAGACGTCGTGAGAGTGCTCACGAATGAGCACATCAAGAGGCAAGGTGACAAGACGACATCGGTGAAGACTGAAGACGCGGCGGAGGCGTTCAGTACCGAGCGTGAACCTCGCCAATGTACATACTGCGGAAAATTGGGGCACACGGCGGAGCGGTGCTGGACCAAGCAGAAGGACGAAAATCAAGGTGGAGCTCGACGCGGCGGCAACAATGCTCGTGGACGCGGAGCCAACAATGTTCAGTGGCGAACCAACAGCAACTACGACGACAACTACGATCGAGTTGCGTTCGCGGTTTCGCTGGAGGCTGGACTTTCGACGGGCAAGAATATGCCAGGGATGTGGGCAGTCGACAGCGGTGCGACGCATCACATCTGCAACGACAAGGCCAAGTTTGCAAGTCTGAATGAGCGAGAGGAAGGCAAACTATCAGTGGCTGATGGCAGCAAGGCTGCGATCAAGGGTGTGGGAACCATCATGGAACGGGTGGTTCTGCCCAATGGTGACGAACGCGACATCGAGATCAAGGACGCACTGTTCGTACCAAGTATGAGCAAGAATCTGCTTTCGGTGCCACAGATCAACAAGGGTGGCAGGTTCCAAGTCGTGTTCGATGGATCCAAGATGCAAGTGAAGCGCAAGAATTCCACACAAGTCGTGGCAACAGCGGATCTCGTCGATGGACTTTACTGGCTGCGAACTCCTCAACGATCGGCAAATGCAGCAACACGCAATGGGACCATCGACGTGCATGCGCGCATGGGTCATGCACCCCTCGAAGTTCTGCGCAAGATGGTGGCCACTGGCATGATCAAGGACGCCAAGGCACCTCTCAACTCGACTGGTCCAAGTGTGTGTCGCGGTTGACAGCAAGGAAAGATGGTCCAAAAACCATTCCCAACCAACCGTGACAAACGCCAATATGGTGTGTTCGAGTTGCTGCACTTCGACATCTGCGGGCCAATGGAACAAGTCTCGATCGGCGGCAGCAAATACTTACTGCTTGTGGTTGACGAAGCCAGCGGTTGCATGAAGGGCTTCTGTCTGCGGTCCAAGTCTGAGAGTGAAGACTGTATCAAGAACCACATTATCAAGATTCAGACTCAGTTCGGCACGAAGATCAAGTTTGTTCGGCACGATGGAGCGCATGAGTTTGCGACCAACTCCATCAAGACCTTCTACGAAGATCATGGTATTGAACAACAGATCACGGTGCCGTATGCACACCAGACCAACGGCACCGCAGAACGCGCGATAAGGACCATCGTCACGATCGGACGCAGCCTGTTGCATCATGCAAAGCTGGAGAAGTGTTTCTGGGCTGAAGCGGCAATGACGGCGATCTACATCAAGAACCGCCTGCCTTCACCCAAGATCGACCACAAGACTCCGTTCGAAATCGTGTACAAGTCGAAACCAAGTGTCAAGCACATGCGCGTGTTTGGATGTCGGGCGTTTATCCTGACACCAAGGGAGAAGCGATTGAAGTGGGACCCGAAGGCTCGTGAAGGGATGTTCATGGGCTACGAAGAAGCGTCAAAAGCTTATCGAGTGTACGACATTGAGGCGGGCCAAGTGGTGATCAGTCGTGACATCACCTTCGACGAATCGACTTTTGACTTTTCGATGGACCGACCAAGTGACGATGATGAAGATGCGGAGTTGGACCTCGACCTCCTGGCGATCAACGAGGACGACGTGCGTCAAACCGTCTACAAGCAGACTGGCAAGCGCAAGAGTGAAGCAAGACCCGGCATGTCACGGTCAGCTCGCCCTCGAACTGGGTTGGAACAAGCAAGTGCGCCGGCACACGTCTCCAACCGTCACCAGAAACAACGATCAAGTGCTCCAGAAACGATGTCTGATGACGAAGAAGATGCAAGCGTCTACGATCAAGATGACGACTCGACGCCTCCAACATTTTGGCGTGCAAGTGCAAACGCAGTGGAAGCAACGGACCTAGCAGAACCTGTGACTTTTCAAGACGCGATCAATGGTCCTGATCAAGCTCACTGGCGAAATGCTGTGAAGGCGGAACTCAAGTCGATGCATCTTCGTGGAGTTTTCCGTGCGGCAAAACTACCAAGAGGCCAAGGCGCGATCGGCACCAAGTGGGTGTTCAAGATCAAGCGCAAAGCGGATGGATCGGTCGAGAAATACAAGGCGCGTCTTGTTGCCAAGGGCTTCAAGCAGAAGTACGGCATCGACTACACAGAGACGTTCTCGCCCGTGGTCAAGTACGTGACACTGCGTATGGTGATCGCGATCACCAAGTATTTCGACTGGCCACTGGACCAACTCGATGTGGTGACAGCCTTTCTCTACGGAGTGATGAAGGAGAAGGTGTACTGCGTGATACCAGAAGGCGTCGAGATGGATGGCGACTTCGACTGTCTCGAGTTGGTGAAGGCGATCTACGGTCTCAAGCAAGCTTCACGTGTGTGGAACGAGACTTTCGACGAGTTCGTATGCTCCATCGGTTTCGAAGCGTCGGCGTTCGACCCATGTCTCTACATCAAGGTTGTCGACGGTCACTGTGTGCTCGTGCTGGTCTACGTGGATGACGTGTTGGTCACCGGCAGCTCGCTTGAGTTGATTGCGCAGACGAAGGCCGACCTCAAGACGCGTTTCGAGATGACCGACAGTGGCAAGTGTACTTTTGTACTGGGCATCGAACTGGTGGACGAATCGGATGGCAGCGTGACGATGTGCCAGCGACGGTATGTCAACGACATCCTCAAGCGCTTCGGCATGGATGAGTGCAAGGCCACAGCAAGTCCGGTCGACTTGAGCACTCGGCTTGTCGCAAGCACCGAAGCGGCCAAGATTGACATTCCATTTCGTGAAGCTGTGGGAGCTTTGATGCACTTGACGACTGCGACGCACCCGGACATTGCGTATGCTGTGGGGTACGTCTCGCGCTTCATGGAGAATCCGCAGCAAGAACATTGGACGGCGGTGAAGCGCATCTTTCGTTACTTACAAGGGACCAAGTCGCACGGACTCCGCTTCCAGCCAAGCGACAAGATCGACTTTCGTGGCTACTCGGACGCGGACTGGGCCGGCGATCACGCTGATCGCAAGTCGACTTCGGGTTACACTTTCATGCTGATGGGTGCTCCTGTGAGTTGGGGAAGCAAGAAGCAGTCAAGTGTGTCGCTGTCGACGAGTGAAGCGGAATACATCGCACTGAGTCTGGCCATCCAGGAAGGCAAGTGGGTGCATCGCCTGCTATGCGAGATTTTGGCGGCCGCAAACGAACCAGGACCGGACCTCGTCATCCGTGAAGACAACCAGTCGTGCATCAAGATGACGAAGAATCCGGTGAATCATGGCCGCGCCAAGCACATCGACATCAAGTACCATCACATCCGTGATGAGGTCAAGCGCGGTGAAGTGCAGCTCGAGTATTGCGAGACTTCCGTGATGATGGCGGACATCATGACCAAGGGACTTTCGGGACCTCGTCACAAGGACTTGACGACGGCTCTCGGTATTCGTGCGAGTTCGGATTGAGGGGGCGTGTTGACGGTCATCGGTTTTCTACCAGTATTGGTAACCGTGACCGATCCAATCCGAACCGCCTGTTCAGCTTAGTATTTACGACGTAGTTCTTAAGGTAATTACCATAGTTGATTAGACGCGTAGGATGATGAGACGCTTCACATGATTTATATGTACACCACATATAAATCATGTAGTAAGTAGTAAGCCCCGATAATCAATCACTTTCGAATCTTCCAACTATTGGGCAAGTGTTTTCTGCTCTACTCTCTTCGGTCTCTCCGCTCCGTTTGCTCCGCTTTCCTCGCTCCGATCTACAATGCAACACATCTGTTTCCACCGTTGGAGGAGGCATCGATATTTTGAGTCGACAGTCTTTTCGTGGGGAGATCGCAATCAGCATCTCTTCCACCTCTCCTCTCGGAGTGATACTCGCTGCTAACATGCCCAGGATCTCTTCCTCTCCTCTTTCACATTTCTTCATCTCCATAACCAATTTGACAACAAAGCAGCCCACCGTCCTAATCTCCCGTTGAGCCCTCGAGACTGCATCAACCAGGCTAACGTAGAATGTCGGGTCAGTACAGTGATCTCCCGCGAGGCAAGCGTAGTATAGCATACATCCAACACACGAAGTAGCGCCAGCACTTCTTTTTCTACCGTTCCGTAGTTAAGCTCATTAGGCTTTAAAGTGCGGCTAGTAAACGTCACCGGATGGTACACGCCATCGTACTCCTGTATCAGGGCTGCTGAGACAGCCCACTTGCTAGCGTAGACCACGATTACGGGGGACCGATCTGGGTCGAAATGCTTGAGCATGGGAGCTGTAGCTATCTTAGCTTTTAGCATAGTGAAAGCAACCTTGGCTTCCGTCCATCGACCCTCGTTGGAGCATTCGTCTCCTGCTGCAAGCTGAGATCGGCCGATCTCGAAGAAATCCGATTCTCTTAACTCATACAACACCGCGGCATACACCGCGAAATCCTCAATGAAGCGACGGTAGTAGTTCAAGCTCCCGAGAAAGGATTGCATAGCTCGTAGCGTGCTAGGAAACGGGATGTTAACCAACGACTCTAGGTTCTTGGGCTGAGCCTCCAGACCATCCATCGACACTCGATGTCCCAAATAATCGACCTTACGGCACCCCCAAAAACTCTTCGTGAGGCTGATAGACAGATTCCACTTATCACATGCCTCCAGCAACCGTTCTACTTTTGTGTACAAAGATCTCCATGACGTGGCTGGTATGAGAATATCGTCAATGTAAGATCGGCGTCCCAGTATAGACGGTCGTCGATCTGTCTCAGGTTCTCCATCTTTGAACACGTCGATCGGGCCATCAGAAGCTGATCTCTGGCCGATCTTGAGATATCCATACAACGCATTGTCCACCAGACGTTGGTAGATCTGGGGCGCGTTCTTAAGCCCAAAAGGCATTCGCAGCCACTCGAACAAACCAAACGGTGTGACAAACGCTGAGATCAGTTTTGCTCGTTCAGTCACTTCGACGACCCAAAATCCACTAGCCATGTCTAGCGAACAGTACCATAGGGCTTTATCCAGATCTTCCAACAGATCGCTGATCAACGGCATGGGATAAACCATCAGACGCGTCAGCTGGTTCACTCTTCGATAATCAATGCAAAGGCGAATATCCACTCCGTTCTTCTTGATGATCACCACTATCGGAGACGCCCAAGGTGACGTGGATGGCTGAACGATTTTGGCTGCTAATAGTCCTTTGATGAGGTCTGACAGCTTCTCCCGATATTTGGGTGCGACCGGACGCACTCTTTGCGCTATCGGTGCTGCCCCACCGACATCAATATCACAGATCGCGCCTCGTGCTGCTGGTGGTAGAGCATTACCTTTACCCATGAGGAGGTGACGGCTCTTCCAGATCAGCGATCTGAGCCGTTGTTGATCTGTGGTGAGAGTCACATCGGGATCACCGATCTGAATGTCCTCAATCGTAACTTCTTCCGTAGTCGCCGACATCTCTGGTAGCACGGCCATATGCTGCTCGATATCTTCCGCAAACAAATCTCCGCTCTCGTGGTGATAAACTGGTATTTCTGCAATCTCGACGTCTTCAGTATTTAGCATTATTTCTTCTTTAGGCTCCTTCGTCTCTTCCGGCTGGCCCAATTTCAACAGTCGGTCAGTCGGCTCAGCCTTCTGTTGACGGTCATCGGTTTTCTACCAGTATTGGTAACCGTGACCGATCCAATCCGAACCGCCTGTTCAGCTTAGTATTTACGACGTAGTTCTTACGGTAATTACCATAGTTGATTAGACGCGTAGGATGATGAGACGCTTCACATGATTTATATGTACACCACATATAAATCATGTAGTAAGTAGTAAGCCCCGATAATCAATCACTTTCGAATCTTCCAACTATTGGGCAAGTGTTTTCTGCTCTACTCTCTTCGGTCTCTCCGCTCCGTTCGCTCCGCTTTCCTCGCTCCGATCTACAATGCAACAGGTTATGAGCCCAAGCGCCATGTCGTCCACCAGCAACGCCTCCATTGACAAGTTCAACGGAGACAATTACGCAACGTGGAGCCGGTACATGCGCGGTGTGTTTTTGACGAAGTCCGTCTGGCACGTTGTCAACCGTGAAGTGACTCCGACTTTCACCGACCCGCGAGCGTCCGATGACTACGTCAAGGCAAGCAACGTCGCGTTTGGTATGATGCTGCTGCACATGAACGCGGACTACCATCATGTGCTGGACAACTGCGAGGAAGCCTGGGTTGCGTGGACAAGTCTGAAGACGCTGTAAGGTGGGTCGCAGAAGGCAGGACGCATCTACCTCAAGCGACAACTTTTCAGTATCAAGATGGCTGAAGGCGCGAACGTCATGCATCACTGCAACGAGGTCCTCAACATCTCCGCCAAGCTTAGCGGCATCGGTGCGAAGATGGAAGACGAAGACGTTGCAATTTGTCTGCTACTCAGTCTTCCGAAGAGCTACGAAAATGTGGTGCTCAACATGGAAATGAGCAGCACCGAGCTTCGCACTCAAGATGTGGTGAGAGTCCTGACGAATGAGCATGCCAAGCGTCAAGGAGAAAAAGGGACAACGACAGCGACTACGGTGAAGGCTGAAGATGCAAGCAAGGCATTCAGCGCCGAGCGTGAGCCCTACCAATGCACGTATTGTGGCAAGGTGGGACACACGGTGGATCGTTGCTGGACAAAGCAGAAGAACGAAGGTCGGGGAGCCCGACGCGGCGGCAATGGTCGTGGACGCGGGGCTAACAATGTCCAGTGGGGACATCATGATGAAGGTAATGGCTACGATCGAGTGGCGTTTGCAGTCTCGTTCGAATGTGGAGTTTCGACGAGCAAGGACGTGTCTGGAATGTGGGCCGTCGACAGTGGTGCAACGCACCACATTTGCCACGACAAGACCAAGTTCGCAAGTTTGGCAGAGCGCAATGAGGGCGAACTCTTGGTGGCTGATGGTAACAAAGTTGCCATCAAGGGTGTGGGAACCATAATGGAAAAGGTGGTTCTGCCCAACGGTGAAGAGCATGAGATCGAAATCAAGAACGCGCTATATGTTCCAAGTATGAGCAAGAACCTGCTCTCGGTACCACAGATTAACAGCCATGGCAAGTTTCAAGTCGTGTTTGACGGGTCCAAGATGTATGTGACTCTCAAGAACTCACAGCAAGTGGTGGCGACAGCGGATCTCGTGGATGGACTCTACTAGCTTCGGACGACTCAACGATCAGCGAATGTGACAACAAGTGGAAACAGTTGTGCCGATCTACATGCGAGAATGGGTCATGCTCCAGTCGATGTACTTCGCAAGATGATCGCGACCAACATGATCAAGGATGTGCGAGTCCCTCTTGTTGAATGGTGAAAAGCTTGACGACCGAAACTGGGAGTGATGCTGGGAGTCTACTCGGAAGACCGGAGAAGACACTTGGGGTTTAGATGGAAGATTGGAAAGTGATTGATTATCGGGGCTTACTACTTACTACATGATTTATATGTGGTGCACATATAAATCATGTGAAGCGTCTCATCATCCTACGCGTCTAATCAACTATGGTAATTACCGTAAGAACTACGTCGTAAATACTAAGCTGAACAGGCGGTTCGGATTGGACCGGTCACGGTTACCAATACTGGTAGAAACCGATGACCGTCAACACGCCCCCTCAATCCGAACTCGCACGAATGCCGAGAGCCGTCGTCAAGTCCTTGTGACGAGGTCCCGAAAGTCCCTTGGTCATGATGTCCGCCATCATCACGGAAGTCTCGCAATACTCGAGCTGCACTTCACCGCGCTTGACCTCATCACGGATGTGATGGTACTTGATGTCGATGTGCTTGGCGCGGCCATGATTCACCGGATTCTTCGTCATCTTGATGCACGACTGGTTGTCTTCACGGATGACGAGGTCCGGTCCTGGTTCGTTTGCGGCCGCCAAAATCTCGCATAGCAGGCGATGCACCCACTTGCCTTCCTGGATGGCCAGACTCAGTGCGATGTATTCCGCTTCACTCGTCGACAGCGACACACTTGACTGCTTCTTGCTTCCCCAACTCACAGGAGCACCCATCAGCATGAAAGTGTAACCCGAAGTCGACTTGCGATCAGCGTGGTCGCCGGCCCAGTCCGCGTCCGAGTAGCCACGAAAGTCGATCTTGTCGCTTGGCTGGAAGCGGAGTCCGTGCGACTTGGTCCCTTGCAAGTAACGAAAGATGCGCTTCACCGCCGTCCAATGTTCTTGCTGCGGATTCTCCATGAAGCGCGAGACGTACCCCACAGCATACGCAATGTCCGGGCGCGTCGCAGTCGTCAAGTGCATCAAAGCTCCCACAGCTTCACGAAATGGAATGTCGATCTTGGCCGCTTCGGTGCTTGCGACAAGCCGAGTGCTCAAGTCGACCGGACTTGCTGTGGCCTTGCACTCATCCATGCCGAAGCGCTTGAGGATGTCGTTGACATACCGTCGCTGGCACATTGTCACGCTGCCATCCGATTCGTCCACCAGTTCGATGCCCAGTACAAAAGTACACTTGCCACTGTCGGTCATCTCGAAACGCGTCTTGAGGTCGGCCTTCGTCTGCGCAATCAACTCGAGCGAGCTGCCGGTGACCAACACGTCATCCACGTAGACCAGCACGAGCACACAGTGACCGTCGACAACCTTGATGTAGAGACATGGGTCGAACGCCGACGCTTCGAAACCGATGGAGCATACGAACTCGTCGAAAGTCTCGTTCCACACACGTTAAGCTTGCTTGAGACCGTAGATCGCCTTCACCAACTCGAGACAGTCGAAGTCGCCATCCATCTCGACGCCTTCTGGTATCACGCAGTACACCTTCTCCTTCATCACTCCGTAGAGAAAGGCTGTCACCACATCGAGTTGGTCCAGTGGCCAGTCGAAATACTTGGTGATCGCGATCACCATACGCAGTGTCACGTACTTGACCACGGGCGAGAACGTCTCTGTGTAGTCGATGCCGTACTTCTGCTTGAAGCCCTTGGCAACGAGACGCGCCTTGTATTTCTCGACCGATCCATCCGCTTTGCGCTTGATCTTGAACACCCACTTGGTGCCGATCGCGCCTTGGCCTCTTGGCAGTTTTGCCGCACGGAAAACTCCACGAAGATGCATCGACTTGAGTTCCGCCTTCACAGCATTTCGCCAGTGAGTTTGATCAGGACCATTGATCGCGTCTTGAAAAGTCACAGGTTCTGCTAGGTCCGTTGCTTCCACTGCGTTTGCACTTGCACGCCAAAATGTTGGAGGCGTCGAGTCGTCATCTTGATCGTACACGCTTGCATCTTCTTCGTCATCAGACATCGTTTCTGGAGCACTTGATCGTCGTTTCTGGTGACGGTTGGAGACGTGTTCCGGCGCACTTGCTTGTTCCAACCCAGTTCGAGGGCGAGCTGACCGTGACATGCCGGGTCTTGCTTCACTCTTGCGCTTGCCAGTCTGCTTGTAGACGGTTTGACGCACGTCGTCCTCGTTGATCGCCAGGAGGTCGAGGTCCAACTCCGCATCTTCATCATCGTCACTTGGTCGGTCCATCGAAAAGTCAAAAGTCGATTCGTCGAAGGTGATGTCACGACTGATCACCACTTGGCCCGCCTCAATGTCGTACACTCGATAAGCTTTTGACGCTTCTTCGTAGCCCATGAACATCCCTTCACAAGCCTTCGGGTCCCACTTCAATCGCTTCTCCCTTGGTGTCAGGATAAACGCCCGACATCCAAACACGCGCATGTGCTTGACACTTGGTTTCGACTTGTACACGATCTCGAACGGAGTCTTGTGGTCGATCTTGGGTGAAGGCAGGCGGTTCTTGATGTAGATCGCCGTCATTGCCGCTTCAGCCCAGAAACACTTCTCCAGCTTTGCATGATGCAACAAGCTGCGTCCGATCGTGACGATGGTCCTTATCGCGCGTTCTGCGGTGCCGTTGGTCTGGTGTGCATACGGCACCGTGATCTGTTGTTCAATACCATGATCTTCGTAGAAGGTCTTGATGGAGTTGGTCGCAAACTCATGCGCTCCATCGTGCCGAACAAACTTGATCTTCGTGCCGAACTGAGTTTGAATCTTGATAATGTGGTTCTTGATACAGTCTTCACTCTCAGACTTGGACCGCAGACAGAAGCCCTTCATGCAACCGCTGGCTTCGTCAACCACAAGCAGTAAGTATTTGCTGCCGCCGATCGAGACTTGTTCCATTGGCCCGCAGATGTCGAAGTGCAGCAACTCGAACACACCATATTGGCGTTTGTCACGGTTGGTTGGGAATGGTTTTTGAACCATCTTTCCTTGCTGTCAACCGCAACACACACTTGGACCAGTCGAGTTGAGAGGTGCCTTGGCGTCCTTGATCATGCCAGTGGCCACCATCTTGCGCAGAACTTCGAGGGGTGCATGACCCATGCGCGCATGCAAGTCGATGGTCCCATTGCGTGTTGCTGCATTTGCCGATCGTTGAGGAGTCCGCAGCCAGTAAAGTCCATCGACGAGATCCGCTGTTGCCACGACTTGTGTGGAATTCTTGCGCTTCACTTGCATCTTGGATCCATCGAACACGACTTGGAACCTGCCACCCTTGTTGATCTGTGGCACCGAAAGCAGATTCTTGCTCATACTTGGTACGAACAGTGCGTCCTTGATCTCGATGTCGAGTTCGTCACCATTGGGCAGAACCACCCGTTCCATGATGGTTCCCACACCCTTGATCGCAGCCTTGCTGCCATCAGCCACTGATAGTTCGCCTTCCTCTCGCTCATTCAGGCTTGCAAACTTGGCCTTGTCGTTGCAGATGTGATGCGTCGCACCGCTGTCGACTGCCCACATCCCTGGCATATTCTTGCCCGTCGAAAGTCCAGCCTCCAGCGAAACCGCGAACGCAACTCGATCGTAGTTATCGTCGTTGTTGTTGTTGGTTCGCCACTGAACATTGTTGGCTCCGCGTCCACGAGCATTGTTGCCGCCGCGTCGAGCTCCACCTTGATTTTCGTCCTTCTGCTTGGTCCAGCACCGCTCCGCCGTGTGCCCCAATTTTCCGCAGTATGTACATTGGCGAGGTTCACGCTCGGTACTGAACGCCTCCGCCGCGTCTTCAGTCTTCACCGATGTCGTCTTGTCACCTTGCCTCTTGATGTGCTCATTCGTGAGCACTCTCACGACGTCTCGCGATCGCAGTTCCGCGCTGCTCATCTCCAAGTTGAGAACGACGTTCTCGTAGCTCTTGGGGAGGCTGCGCAACAAGCAGATCGCCACGTCCTCGTCCTCCATCTTGGCGCCGATGCTGCTGAGCTTCGCGCTGATGTTGAGGACTTCGTTGCAATGATGCATCACATTGCCGCCTTCCGCCATCTCCATGCTGAACAGCTGGCGCTTCAAGTAGATGCGTCCAGCCTTCTGCGACCCGCCGTACAGCGTCTTCAAACGCGCCCACGCGACCCACGCCTCTTCACAGTCATCAACCACGTGATGATAATCCGCGCTCATGTGCAGAAGCATCAAGCCGAACGCAATGTTGTTCGTCTTGACGTAGTCGTCACTGGCGCGAGGATCGGCGAAGGTGGGGGGTGGTCTCCCGGTTCACCACGTGCCACGCCGACTTGGTCAGGAACACGCCACGCATGTAGCGGCTCCACGTCGCGTAGTTGTCGCCGTCGAACTTGTCGATGGAGATCTTGGTGGTGGCATCATGAGCAGAGGACATCGTGCTTGGGCTCATAACCTGTTGAATGGTGAAAAGCTTGACGACCGAAACTGGGAGTGATGCTGGGAGTCTACTCGGAAGACCGGAGAAGACACTTGGGGTTTAGATGGAAGATTGGAAAGTGATTGATTATCGGGGCTTACTACTTACTACATGATTTATATGTGGTGCACATATAAATCATGTGAAGCGTCTCATCATCCTACGCGTCTAATCAACTATGGTAATTACCGTAAGAACTACGTCGTAAATACTAAGCTGAACAGGCGGTTCGGATTGGACCGGTCACGGTTACCAATACTGGTAGAAACCGATGACCGTCAACACGCCCCCTCAATCCGAACTCGCACGAATGCCGAGGATGTCAACAAGGGAAAATGGTCCAAAAACCATTTCCAAGCAACCGAGACAAGCGCAGCTACGATACGTTTGAGCTACTTCATCTGGACATCTGCGGGCCCATGGAAAAGGATTCGCTCGGTGGCAGCAAATATTTGCTGCTGATCATCGACGAAGCCAGTGGATGCATGAAGGGCTTTTGTCTACGAGTGAAGTCCGAGAGTGAAGACTACATCCGGAAATATATCACCATGGTACAGACGCAATTCTGTAAGAAGGTCAAGTTCGTGCGACACGACGGAGCTCGCGAGTTTGCAACCAACTCGCTTCAACTGTTCTACGAAGAAGAAGGCATTGAACAGCAGACGACGGTGCCGTATGCACACCAGAACAACGGAACAGCAATCGCGCCATCGGGACTATCGTCACGATCGGCCGCAGCATGCTTCACCATGCCAAGTTGGACAAGTGCTTCTGGGCTGAATTAGCAATGACGGTTATCTACGTCAAGAATCGCCTACCGTCACCTAAATGTGCACAAGACCCCGTTTGAGATCGTCTACAACTTGAAACCAAGCGTCGAGCACATGCGAGCATTTGGATGTCAGACATACATACTGACGCGAAAGAGAATCGACTCAAGTGGGATCCAAAGGCTGGCGCTGGCATGCTCGTGGGCTACGAAGAAGCGTCGAAGGCGTATCAAGTTTATGACGTTGAGGCGGGGAAGGTGGTCGTCAATCGTGATGTCAACTTCGACGAATCCACCTGTGGACTTCCACCACCGATCACTGATGAAGGTGCCGATGACCTAGAATTCAAATTACTCAATGATGAAGAGCCGCGTCAGGTAGAGTACAAGCAAACAGGCAAGCGCAAGAGCCGCCTCGATGATGAAGATGCAGCTGCTCAACGACTGCGTGCAGTGAGTCAACGGCCTGGACTAGTAGAGTCAAGCATGCCGGACAGCAACTCGTCATGCTAAGAAGAAGACGCAGAAACGAAGGATTCTGATGAATCAACTTTGCCTGTGTTTTGGCGTGCGAGTGCAAATGCCGTTGAAGCAGAAGTGGACTTATCAGAGCCCTCAACATTTGAAGCAGCAGTAAGCGGCCCTGACCAAGTGCACTGGAGAAAAGCAATTCATGCAGAGCTCGAGTCAATGCGACTTCGCGGTGTGTTTCGTGCAGCCAAGCTGCCCAACGGACAACGCGCCATTGGCACAAAATGGGTGTTCAAGATCAAGCGCAAGGCGGATGGATCTATCGAGAAGTACAAGGCACGTCTCGCGGCAAAGGGCTTTCGCTCGAAGTATGGAATCGACTACACGGAGACGTTTTCTCCCGTGGTCAAGCATGTGACGCTGAGAATGGTGATCGCAATTTCCAAGCATTTTGGATGGCCCATCAACTAGCTTGATGTGGTGACAGCTTTCCTGTATGGCGTCATGAAGGAACAAGTGTTCTGCGTGATCCCTGAAGGCGTCGAACTTGACAGTACGTTCGACTGCCTGGAATTGGTGAAGGCAATTTACGGCCTGAAGCAAGCTTTGCGAGTATGGAACGAGACTTTTGACGAGTGTGTGTTCCATTGGATTTCAAGTGTCAGGCTTCGACCCATGTCTCTACATCAAGACTTCGGACGGCCATTGCGTGTTTATACTGGTCTACGTGGACGACGTCTTGGTGACTGGAAGCTCGCTCGAGCTGATTGCACAAACCAAGAACGACCTGAAGACGCGGTTCGAAATGACGGACAGCGGCAAGTGTGCGTTTGTTCTTGGGATCGAGCTTTTGGACGGTGAAGATGGCAGTGTGACACTATGTCAGCGTCGGTATGTCGATGATATCCTCAAGCGCTTTGGCATGGATGATTGCAAGGCAGTCGCAAGTCCAGTCGACATGAGCTCTCGACTTGTTTCAAGTGATGCAACTACCAAGGTCGATGCTCCTTTTCGCGAAGCTGTTGGTGCGTTGATGCACCTGACCACTGCAACGCGTCCGGACATTGCGTTTGCTGTGGGCTATGTGTCGCGGTTCATGGAAAATCCCCAAGAAGAACACTGGGTTGCAGTTAAGCGTATCTTTCGCTACCTACAAGGCACCAAGACGAATGGAATTTGCTACAAGCCAAGTGCAAGGATCGACTTCCGTGGATATTCGGATGCGGATTGGGCTGGTGATCTTACCGACCGCAAGTCAACATCGGGGTACACGTTCATGCTACTCGGTGCGCCAGTCAGTTGGGGCAGCAAGAAGCAGCCAAGTGTTTCGTTGTCCACGAGTGAAGCCGAATACATCGCACTCAGCTTGGCGATTCAAGAGGGCAAGTGGATTCATCGTCTGCTTTGTGAGATCGTGATGGCTGCCAATGAAGAAGGACCGGAACTCATGATTCATGAAGACAATCAGTCATGTATCAAGATGACGAAGAATCCTGTCAACCATGGCCGTGCCAAGCACATTGACATCAAGTACCATCACATCCGTGATGAGGTCAAGCGCGGCGAAGTCAAGCTCAAGTACTGTGAGACTGCGGTGATGTTAGCAGACATCATGACCAAGGCACTTCATGGACCGCGTCACAAGGAGATGACGACGGCTCTCGGGATTCGTGAGCATTCGGATTGAGGGGGCGTGTTGACGGTCATCGGTTTTCTACCAGTATTGGTAACCGTGACCGATCCAATCCGAACCGCCTGTTCAGCTTAGTATTTACGACGTAGTTCTTACGGTAATTACCATAGTTGATTAGACGCGTAGGATGATGAGACGCTTCACATGATTTATATGTACACCACATATAAATCATGTAGTAAGTAGTAAGCCCCGATAATCAATCACTTTCGAATCTTCCAACTATTGGGCAAGTGTTTTCTGCTCTACTCTCTTCGGTCTCTCCGCTCCGTTCGCTCCGCTTTCCTCGCTCCGATCTACAATGCAACACCTTCGGTAGAGACGATCTGTCACGTAGCCCTTCTTGCCCGGTGTCGCGGTCTCCCTTCGTTGCATGTTGGGTACAGATCTCATGACCGTTCTCCATCCGCGATAGTTCGGCTCCCCTGACCGTTACTTCCCTCGCAACTACAGCATCTGCCTTTTGCGAATCGTCATCGTTAGCTTGCGACGTTACCGTGGAGATCGCCGGAGACAGGTTCTGTAACGCATCAGACGGACGTTTCAAGATGCGTTTGGGAGCGGCATACGTAGGACGATCTACCAATGGTCCGATCGGTTCTTTCGGGAGCTCGTTCACTCGATCCGTCGTAGCCTCATATGCCAAAGTTTGCCATTCCTTGTACTTCCCTGACCCGACTGTCACCAAACCTTGGGTTCGCGGTACCATATCGCCTTCGACCCACATGCCTAATATAGTGTGGGTGGGCAGTATGATCTCACGGTCGCCAATGTTGGTCATCTGCAGGTATTTCGTCTTACCCCACCCCGAGATCACAGTGGGGACCCAATCTAGTCCTCTAGCGACCCACAACTTCATCTTAGCCCCTCCGATCCCGATCTTCACTTCCCTTGACTCTCCGACCGGGATCACCACGTGTTGGTCCTTCGCCGTTATATGTTGTATCTTCGATCCGTACGAGGGGCGACGTCCTGCGAGATAAATGCGGATTTCTTCTGGTAGACATAGCGCGCCATCCGCTAGATCGAGCCGCACTCCAGCAGGCACCATAAAATCCATACCCAGAATCGCTTCTTGCCCTGCCAGATCGCCTACCCATACATTGAAATAGTATACCAGCGATCCCGCGAGGGTCACCTTGATCTTGGTACGTCCTACCGTCATGTACGGAGTTTCTCCAATCCCGATACATTCTTGTCGTTGACTTTCGTCAATATTGCAACCGACCTCACGAGCAAAGGTGGTGTCAATGATCGACACTTCAGCACCAGAATCAAATAACAGAGTAGCTTTTACGTTGTTGATCTTGCCAACGGCTTTCGCTTGTTTGAACCACTTCCCGGGTGAATGATGTTTCCAGTATCCGCGAGATTCACCATAAGCGAGCTCGATCTCCATAGCTGGTTCAGATCGTGAGTACTCATCGATCCGCTTCAGATGGGACACGGAAGCGACACGTTTTAACTTCGAACGAGATATATTTGTTTCCACGTCAATATCCTGCTTACTCTCGCGATCTGTCTTCTTTTTTCCACGTATGCAATAATGCAGAGCCCAGAACGCTCGGCTCGTACCAGATTCAAACCTGGCGAGCGTCCTAGTTTAACATCTTCTCGGCCTTCTCTGGTAGCATCCCCGCATGCTTATTCGGGACGTACCACTGACGGATCATGTTGTAGAACTCCTGCATGGGACACTTCCCCGGGTCGTGCATCTCACCGCAAGCACGACACACGAAAAAACAATTGTCAGAGGGGTGTCCTTTACGCCCACACTTCTGGCAAGTGAGCCGCTTCCAGCAACCGAGATCTCCATGCTTGGTCGATCCGCAATGAGTACACGGCTTCAATGGCATATTGCGATCTTGATAGTCTTGACGAGTGTTCGGGTCGACCGATCTCGCGTTTGCTGCAACTTCATTGGGGGATGAACGGCGATCCGCGGTAGCAGCCACATGGATCGATCTCAATCGATCTTCCAAATCCGATCCGCAGGTGTCCGATCCTGACTCGCTGCAGACGTCCTCGGTACGGACCATCCTTACCGCTTGTTGCATTGTAGATCGGAGCGAGGAAAGCGGAGCAAACGGAGCGGAGAGACCGAAGAGAGTAGAGCAGAAAACACTTGCCCAATAGTTGGAAGATTCGAAAGTGATTGATTATCGGGGCTTACTACTTACTACATGATTTATATGTGGTGTACATATAAATCATGTGAAGCGTCTCATCATCCTACGCGTCTAATCAACTATGGTAATTACCGTAAGAACTACGTCGTAAATACTAAGCTGAACAGGCGGTTCGGATTGGATCGGTCACGGTTACCAATACTGGTAGAAAACCGATGACCGTCAACACGCCCCCTCAATCCGAATGCTCACGAATCCCGAGAGCCGTCGTCATCTCCTTGTGGCGCGGTCCATGAAGTGCCTTGGTCATGATGTCTGCTAACATCACCGCAGTTTCACAGTACTTGAGCTTGACTTGGCCGCGCTAGACCTCATCACGGATGTGATGGTACTTGATGTCAATGTGCTTGGCACGGCCATGGTTGACAGGATTATCGTCATCTTGATGCACGATTGATTGTCTTCATGAATCATGAGTTCCGGTCCTTCTTCATTGGCAGCCATCACAATCTCACAAAGCAGACGATGAATCCACTTGCCCTCTTGAATCGCCAAGCTGAGTGCGATGTATTCGGCTTCACTCGTGGACAACGAAACACTTGGCTGCTTCTTGCTGCCCCAACTGACTGGCGCACCGAGTAGCATGAACGTGTACCCCGATGTTGACTTGCGGTCGGTAAGATCACCAGCCCAATCCGCATCCGAATATCCACGGAAGTCGATCCTTGCACTTGGCTTGTAGCAAATTCCATGCGTCTTGGTGCCTTGTAGGTAGCGAAAGATACGCTTAACTGCAACCCAGTGTTCTTCTTGGGGATTTTCCATGAACCGCGACACATAGCCCACAGCAAACGCAATGTCCGGACGCGTTGCAGTGGTCAGGTGCATCAACGCACCAACAGCTTCGCGAAAAGGAGCATCGACCTTGGTAGTTGCATCACTTGAAACAAGTCGAGAGCTCATGTCGACTGGACTTGCGACTGCCTTGCAATCATCCATGCCAAAGCGCTTGAGGATATCATCGACATACCGACGCTGACATAGTGTCACACTGCCATCTTCACCGTCCAAAAGCTCGATCCCAAGAACAAACGCACACTTGCCGCTGTCCGTCATTTCGAACCGCGTCTTCAGGTCGTTCTTGGTTTGTGCAATCAGCTCGAGCGAGCTTCCAGTCACCAAGACGTCGTCCACGTAGACCAGTATAAACACGCAATGGCCGTCCGAAGTCTTGATGTAGAGACATGGGTCGAAGCCTGACACTTGAAATCCAATGGAACACACACTCGTCAAAAGTCTCGTTCCATACTCGCAAAGCTTGCTTCAGGCCGTAAATTGCCTTCACCAATTCCAGGCAGTCGAACGTACTGTCAAGTTCGACGCCTTCAGGGATCACGCAGAACACTTGTTCCTTCATGACGCCATACAGGAAAGCTGTCACCACATCAAGCTGGTCGATGGGCCATCCAAAATGCTTGGAAATTGCGATCACCATTCTCAGCGTCACATGCTTGACCACGGGAGAAAACGTCTCCGTGTAGTCGATTCCATACTTCGAGCGAAAGCCCTTTGCCGCGAGACGTGCCTTGTACTTCTCGATAGATCCATCCGCCTTGCGCTTGATCTTGAACACCCATTTTGTGCCAATGGCGCGTTGTCCGTTGGGCAGCTTGGCTGCACGAAACACACCGCGAAGTCGCATTGACTCGAGCTCTGCATGAATTGCTTTTCTCCAGTGCACTTGGTCAGGGCCGCTTACTGCTGCTTCAAATGTTGAGGGCTCTGATAAGTCCACTGCTGCTTCAACGGCATTTGCACTCGCACGCCAAAACACAGGCGGAGTTGAATCACCAGAATCCTTCGTTTCTTCGTCTTCTTCTTGGCGTGACGAGTTGTTTTCCGGCGCGCTTGACTCTTCTAGTCCTGGTCGTTGACGCACTGCACGCGGTCGTGGAGCTGCTGTATCTTCATCATTGAGTCGGTTCTTGCGCTTGCCAGTTTGCTGATACTCCATTTGACGCAGCTCTTCGTCATCAAGATCCAGCAATTCGAAGTCCAGGTCATCGACATCTTCATCAGTGATCGGCAGTTGAAGTCCAAAGGTGGACTCGTCGAAGTTGACATCCCGACTGACAACAACCTGCCCCGCCTCGATGTCAAATACACGATATGCCTTGGACACTTCTTCGTAGCCCACGAATATGCCAGCGCGAGCCTTGGGATCCCACTTGAGTCGCTTCTCCTTCGGAGTCAGTATAAATGTCTGACAGCCGAATACTCGCATGTGCTTGACACTTGGCTTGGAGTTGTACACGATCTCAAACGGGGTCTTGTGCACAACTTTAGGTGACGGTAGGCGATTCTTGACGTAGATGGCCGTCATTGCTGCTTCAGCCCAGAAGCACTTGTCCAGCTTGGCATGGTGAAGCATGCTGCGGCCGATCGTGACGATAGTCCCGATGGCGCGATTGCTGTTCCGTTGTTCTGGTGTGCATACGGCACCGTCGTCTGCTGTTCAATGCCTTCTTCCTCGTAGAACAGTTGAAGCGAGTTGGTTGCAAACTCGCGAGCTCCGTCGTGTCGCACGAACTTGACCTTCTTACAGAATTGCGTCTGTACCATGGTGATATATTTCCGGATGTAGTCTTCACTCTCGGACTTCACTCGTAGACAAAAGCCCTTCATGCATCCACTGGCTTCGTCGATGATCAGCAGCAAATATTTGCTGCCACCGAGCGAATCCTTTTCCATGGGCCCGCAGATGTCCAGATGAAGTAGCTCAAACGTATCGTAGCTGCGCTTGTCTCGGTTGCTTGGAAATGGTTTTTGGACCATTTTCCCTTGTTGACATCCTCGACATGTAGTTGCTCCACCCGACTTGAGAGGGACTCGCACATCCTTGATCACGTTGGTCGCGATCATCTTGCGAAGTACATCGACTGGAGCATGACCCATTCTCGCATGTAGATCGGCACCACTGGTTCCACTTGTTGTCACATTCGCTGATCGTTGAGTCGTCCGAAGCCAGTAGAGTCCATCCACGAGATCCGCTGTCGCCACCACTTGCTGTGAGTTCTTGAGAGTCACATACATCTTGGACCCGTCAAACACGACTTGAAACTTGCCATGGCTGTTAATCTGTGGCACCGAGAGCAGGTTCTTGCTCATACTTGGAACATATAGCGCGTTCTTGATTTCGATCTCACGCTCTTCACCGTTGGGCAGAACCACCTTTTCCATGATGGTTCCCACACCCTTGATGGCCACCTTGTTGCCATCAGCCACCAAGAGTTCGCCCTCATTGCGCTCTGCCAAACTTGCGAACTTGGTCTTGTCGTGGCAAATGTGGTGCGTTGCACCACTGTCGACGGCCCACATTCCAGACACGTCCTTGCTCGTCGAAACTCCACATTCGAACGAGACTGCAAACGCCACTCGATCGTAGCCATTGCCTTCATCATGATGTCCCCACTGGACATTGTTAGCCCCGCGTCCACGACCATTGCCGCCGCGTCGGGCTCCCCGACCTTCGTTCTTCTGCTTTGTCCAGCAACGATCCACCGTGTGTCCCACCTTGCCACAATACGTGCATTGGTAGGGCTCACGCTCGGCGCTGAATGCCTTGCTTGCATCTTCAGCCTTCACCGTAGTCGCTGTCGTTGTCCCTTTTTCTCCTTGACGCTTGGCATGCTCATTCGTCAGGACTCTCACCACATCTTGAGTGCGAAGCTCGGTGCTGCTCATTTCCATGTTGAGTACCACATTTTCGTAGCTCTTCGGAAGACTGAGTAGCAGACAAATTGCAACGTCTTCGTCTTCCATCTTCGCACCGATGCCGCTAAGCTTGGCGGAGATGTTGAGGACCTCGTTGCAGTGATGCATGACGTTCGCGCCTTCAGCCATCTTGATGCTGAAAAGTTGTCGCTTGAGGTAGATGCGTCCTGCCTTCTGCGACCCACCGTACAGCGTCTTCAGACTGGTCCACGCAACCCAGGCTTCCTCGCAGTTGTCCAGCACATGATGGTAGTCCGCGTTCATGTGCAGCAGCATCATACCAAACGCGACGTTGCTTGCCTTGACGTAGTCATCGGACGCTCGCGGGTCGGTGAAAGTCGGAGTCACTTCACGGTTGACAACGTGCCAGACGGACTTCGTCAAAAACACACCGCGCATGTACCGGCTCCACGTTGCGTAATTGTCTCCGTTGAACTTGTCAATGGAGGCGTTGCTGGTGGACGACATGGCGCTTGGGCTCATAACCTGTTGCATTGTAGATCGGAGCGAGGAAAGCGGAGCGAACGGAGCGGAGAGACCGAAGAGAGTAGAGCAGAAAACACTTGCCCAATAGTTGGAAGATTCGAAAGTGATTGATTATCGGGGCTTACTACTTACTACATGATTTATATGTGGTGTACATATAAATCATGTGAAGCGTCTCATCATCCTACGCGTCTAATCAACTATGGTAATTACCGTAAGAACTACGTCGTAAATACTAAGCTGAACAGGCGGTTCGGATTGGATCGGTCACGGTTACCAATACTGGTAGAAAACCGATGACCGTCAACACCGCTCGTGCAGGCTTAGACAGCGCTGGACCCTGAGTTCCCTTCTGCCTGAATTTGGACGATCCCATCATCACTTTCCCTTGACGCGATCTCCCTTGTTGATATCCGTGCAGTGCCTTTTGCATGGCCTCCGCGTCTTCTACATTCAGCAGTAGCAATTGATTGGACAGATCGGGGTCGTCCAAGGTGTCAATGAAATGATTGACATGTTCCTTGCGCGCAGCTGGCAATCCAGTCATCACCGGTATCTTCGCCTGCATTCCCACCACATTAAGCCGATACAGGTACTGTAAAGGATCTTCCTCCGATCGTTTCTTTGCATGGTAGTATTGCCTGCTCGCGGACATCCCGTGTCCCGCATACTCCACAAGGAAACTGTTCATCAATTCTTTCCAATTGAATCTCGTCGATCTACTCAGCTGTCGGTACCAGTAGCGGGCTGGGCCCACCATGAGATCACCGAAGACCAGACATCTCTCCTCGTCCGGTGCTTGGTCCCGGATAAACGCTGATTTCACTTTGCCGATCCAGGTCCGTGCTTTGTCTTCTTCCCGATCCTTCCCTGATAATTCTTTCAGCTCAGAAATCGCTGAGATTCTGATCCTATGCGTGATGCTTCCCCCTCCGGTAGTCGCACCGGTCGCGGCTACATGAGGGCGCCGTGGTTCGGGCATCCATAGATCATCCGGGTCGTATTCCGCCGCCTCATGGATATGTTGGTAAATGTCCGACCCCACCGACTCCATCTCCACATCCGGCATGTCAAGGCTTTTGTGTGAAGGTTGGAGCAAAGTACGTCGATCTGGGTAGCGGTTTGGCTGTCGATTCATTCGCTGAGCTGTACGTTGATCCACCTCGTACTTCTTCATGGCTGAATTGAAGTACCGACTTAGATCGCCCTCTTCTTGATCCTCCAGCCCAGTGCGGGTACTGGCCGATCTCTGCGGCATGTTGCTCTTGGCTTGTCCCTTATAGGCGTCGATCTTGGCTTGTCCGATCTTGTCCTTTAAGAACCTTCCACCCGATGGTCCTAGAGACATCTGACGAATGCTGATGGATCCATCTGACTCGCTCTCGGAGTCATCCGAGGCGTAGCGGGCGATCCCGCGGGGTGTTTACAGAGCGAGCCCGAGGGCGTCCCGATCTTGTCTTCAGGAGTATTCGCTTTGCCCACCAGCATTATCATGATCTCTACAAACTCATTCGCCGCGTCCTTCAACTGTTCCAAGCTGCAACTCAGCAGTTCATCTCCATCAAAAGCGTCAGGGCAGATACCCATGTCGTCCAACATCTGCAAAATCACATTGATCTCGTCGACTTTGTTGGTCCCGTGAAGTGGGACCGAGATCGGCTTATCCAGAGGACCAATCACCTTGGGCCTTAACATCTTGAACACTGGGTCCGTCTTGAGCAGCGTCTTCAACTGGCCATAATAGTACTGCCATTTTGCACGCTCCCGCGCTTCACCCGTCGTCTCCTTCTCCATGGACGCGATCTTTATTGGGTTATATTCCGTCTTTGGCATCGCGATCTTATCTGGTGTTTCATCGTATTCCTCTTTGGCTCCGATCTTCGATTGCACGGTTCGGCCGATCTGGCGATCTTTGACATCTGATCCCATCGATCTCGTCGCGGATCGTTCTGATGTGGTCGATCTCGCGATTGTGCTCTTCGGCTTGAGGTCGGGCGATCTATCGACTAAGATATAGGGTTTGGCTTTCGCCGATTTGGTTTTCACCGTTGGATTTTCATCCAGCAGATCGCTCTTTGCAGAGCGATCTGCGGTGGCCCCCGAAGGGACCCTAGGAGGGAATTGAGGTTTATCTTCCAGATCGATCTCTCGATCTTCCTCTTTCATTTTCATTTCATCAGAGCCCCTCCCAAAACTCTGATGATCTGAGGATCTTGTGCTTCTGCATGTCTGCGTCGATCCCTTTGTCGCTGACACTTCCAGGTTCTTGCTTAATCTTGACATCTTCGCCAGTGGACTCAGGGGAAATCCAGAGGCCTCAGAAGATCCGGGCACGCGCACCATTGTGGTGAAGTCGATCTCACAAAATTGCTTGTATGAGTGTCGATCTTCCACTTGCCCAGACTTGCCGACTCACGGAGGGGGTACTCCGATCCGTGCCTTGTTGTATGACCTTGTGCTCACCTTGTGTACCCGTCGGTTGGGCTGGCTTGAGCTCTTCGTAACGGCCTTGGGAGATGTAGATCTCGCTGAGAGGTTGGGTTGAGGGTTCGCTTCCGGTGCGGAAATCTTCACACCACGAACGGGGGTTCTGCGATCCCGATCTTGGATCGCACCGATCTTGATTTGTCTTCGAGATCGGGGTCTTTGCTGTGCGGAAATCTTCACTCAGCAAATAAAAGTCCTGCGTCGATCTTGCCTTGGGATCGGTCCGATCTGGTCTTGGGATCGGCCGATCTTGCCGGAAGTGCGCAATTTGGGTAGATCGGTGTCTTGTTTCGCCAAAATGAAACGTGCCGATCTGTCCAGGGGATCGCTTCGATCCTGCTCGGTCTTGTCTTGAACGCCTTGTCCAGATCTTCTTACCACTTGAGCCGTCTCGCGATCCTGTGTCCAAAATCCTTTTCCTTTTCCGTTGTGTGCTGCTACCCTAGCAGTTGAGTTGAGTGTGAGTACTTGATCGATCCGGGCCAGATATCCCGGGATCGCTCTTCTCGATCTTGGCCAACAATCCAAGATCGGTCTTCTGTGTCCCTGTAACACGCGTGCCTTAACCCGCCGGGGAAGCCAAATCAATCTTGCCTGGAGAAGAGGGGAGGATAACGTGCGTCGTGAGCAGAAGAAGTAGAGTTCAAGTCTGTTTATTAACCAACCAAATTACTATCCAACCTACCCTTAAGCCTATTCTTAACTATAGGTCACTCTTCAAACCGATATCGCCTTGAATCTGGATCGCCCCCTTGCCACGTGTCGAAATTTCGTGCCCTGTACTCCAATGATAGCGCCAATATTCCCGATACCGTACCTGAACGCCAAAAGAGGACCAAATCCCAAATGGGGTACCAAATACCCATTTTGGGTACCCAAAAGACCAAAATAGTGCCCAAATGCCGAAGGCGTCTAAATCCATTTTGCGACGTCAATTTAACCGGCTTCCACTGGCTCTTTCGATCTGAACTTTTGAGACATCACTCATGGACCTTGAACAAGCATGTTTGTCATGATCCAAAATTCTCATCAACGATACATCCATAATCAGTGGGGATCATGACCGATCTGATGCCCAATTCGAGATTGTTGAGGATCGACACAGTACAATCCGGCCATATATGTTCTTCCGTTCATTGTGTGCACTCCGATGCTTTATCAAAATGATTCTGCTTCAACATCCACATCCTTGCCTCTGATCAGCCTTCAGAGTGGTCGTTCGGTTCAATCCAGTCCCTCATCCCAGATCGCACCGTGGAAATCACCCCTTGCTACGCCCCGTCTCAAACCACGTCGCATCGCCTGGTCCCAGGCGTACTTTTCTCAAATGATTCTGCTTCAACATCCACATCCTTTCCTTTGATCAGCCTTTAGAGTGGTCGTTCGGTTCAATCCAGTCCCTCGTCCCAGATCGCACCGTTGGAATCACCCCTTTCTACGCCCCGTCTCAAATCACGTTGCATCGCCTGGGCCTAGGCGTACCTCTTCCGCCAGTGAGTGACATCTTAACTGGGTGGACACCAATCCACGTCCCATCATTTGATTAGTGACTTTACCACAGTTACACCTTCGTCGCAGAGTCATATCCCATCACCCGGTCCCAGATCCTTGTCCCAGATTGTTTCATGTAAATCGTTCCAGATCGCTCCGTCCCAGTTCGATCCATACCCATTAGTCTAACGACAGTTGGATCGGTTCGCCGATCCCGTTAATATCATCTTCCACCTCCGTATTGGATCGCCGAGTCTCATGGCCTCCTTTTCCACCAGTAAGCGGCGCGTTAAAGATGTGGCCACCGATCCTCATACAAAATTTGAGTAGTGACTTTGCCACAATCTTGCTCGCTGTGCTGCTTGACATCAGTCGAGAACTGACATCCACAGGACTCGCCACAGCCTTGCACTCCTCCATTCCAAAGCGCTTGAGGATATCATCGACATAATGGCGCTGACACAGAGTCACACTGCCATCTCCACCGTCCAAAAGCTCGATCCCAAGAACAAATGAATACTTGCCGCTGTCTGCCATCTAAAAACGTGTCTTCAAGTCGTTCTTGGTTCGTGCAAATAGCTCAAGCGAGATTCCAGTCACCAAGACGTCTTTCACGTCGACCAGTACAAGCACACAATGGCCGTCCGAAGTCTTGATGTAGAGACATGGGTCGAAGTACGACGCTTGGAATCCGATGGAGCACACATACTCGTCGAACGTCTCGTTCCACACTCGCGACGCTTGCTTGAGGCCGTAAATTGACTTCACCAATTCCAGGCAGTCGAACGTACTATCAAGGTTGACGCCTTCAGGAATCACACAGAACACTTGTTCCTTCATGACGCCATACAGGAAAGCCGTCAACACATCAAGCTGGTCATGGGCCATCCAAATGGCTTGGAAATTGCGACCACCATTCGCAGAGTCACATACTTGACCACAGGCGAAAATTTCTCCGTGTAGTCGATGCCATACTTTTGGCGGAAACCCTTGGCCACAAGTCGTGCCTTGTACTTCTCTATAGATCCATCCGCTTTACGCTTGATCTTGAAGACCCACTTCTTACCAATGGCGCGTGGTCCGTTAGGTAGCTTGGTTGCACGAACACACCGCGAAGTCGCATTGACTCGAGCTCCGCATGAATGCATTTCCGCTAGTGCACTTTGTCAGGGCTTCTCACTGCTGCCTAAAATGTTGACGACTCCAATAAACCCGCTGCTGTTTCTACGGCATTCGCACTCGCACGCCAAAACACAGGCGGAGTTGATTCATCAGAATTCTTCGTTTCTGCGTCTTCTTCTTAGCATGACGAGTTGCTGTCCGGCATGCTTGACTCTTCTAGTCCAGGCCGTTGACTCACTGCACGCAGTCGTTGAGCAGCTGCATCTTCATCATCGAGGCGGCTCTTGCGCTTGCCTGTTTGCTTGTACTCTACCTGACGCGGCTCTTCATCATTGAGTAATTTGAATTCCAGGTCATCGGCACCTTCATCAGTGATCGGTGGTGGAAGTCCACAGGTGGATTCGTCGAAGTTGACATCACGATTGACGACCACCTTCCCCGCCTCAACGTCATAAACTTGATACGCCTTCGACGCTTCTTCGTAGCCCACGAGCATGCCAGCGCCAGCCTTTGGATCCCACTTGAGTCGATTCTCTTTCGCGTCAGTATGTATGTCTGACATCCAAATGCTCGCATGTGCTCGACGCTTGGTTTCGAGTTGTAGACAATCTCAAACGGGGTCTTGTGTACATCTTTAGGCGGCGGCAGTCGATTCTTGACGTAGATGGCCGCCATCGCTGCTTCAGCCCAGGAACACTTGTCCAGTTTGGCATGATGAAGCATGCTGCGGCCGATCGTGACAATAGTCCTAATGGCACGCTCTGCTGTTCCGTTTGTTTGATGCGCATATGCACCGTTGTCTGCTTTTCAATGCCTTCATCTTCGTAGAACAGTTGAAGCGAGTTGGTTGCAAACTCGCGAGCTCCGTCGTGTCGCACAAACTTGACCTTCTTACTGAACTGCGTCTGTACCATGGTTAAATATTTCCGGATGTAGTCTTCACTCTCGGACTTCACTCGTAAAAAACCCTTCACACATCCACTGGCTTCGTCTACGATCACTAGCAGATTTCTGCTGCCACCGATCGATTCGTTTTTCATGGGCACACAGATGTCTAGATGAAGCAGCTCGAACGTATCGTAGTTACGCTTGTCGCGGTTGATTGGGAATGTTTTTTAGACCATTTTACCTTGTTGGAACCCTCAACATGCAGTTGCTCCACCCGACTTCAGAGGGACTCGCACATCCTTGATCATGTTGGTCGTGATCATCTTGCGCAGTACATCGACTGGAGCATGACCCATTCGCGAATGTAGGTCAGCACAACTGTTTCCACTTGTTGTCACATTCGCTGATCGTTGAGTCGTCCGAAGCCAGTAGAGTCCATCCACAAGATCCGCTGTCGCCACCACTTGCTGTGAGTTCTTGAGAGTCACATACATCTTGGACCCGTTAAACACGACTTGGAACTTGCCATGCGTGTTGATCTGTGGCACCGAAAGAAGGTTCTTGATAACACTTCGAGCATATAACGCTTTCTTGATCTTGATCTCGCGCTCTTCACCGTTGGGCAGAACCACCTTTTCAATGATGGATCCCACACCCTCGATGGCCGCTTGATACCATCATCCACCAGGATCTCGCCATCGTTTCCTTTGACCAAGCTGTAAACTCGTTTTTGTCGTGGCAAATATGGTGCGTTTCACGACGGCCCATTCCAGACATGTCCTTGCTCGTCAAAACTCCACTTACTTTTAGACGAGCCTTCATCCATCTTGATGCTGAAAAGTCGCCGATTAAGGAAGATGCGTTCTGCCTTCTGCGACCTACCGTACAGCGTCTTCAGACTTGTCCACGCAACACACGCTTCCTCGAATTTGTCAAGCACATGGTGGTAATCCGCATTCATGTGCAGCAGCATCATACCAAATGCGACATTGCTCGCCTTGACGTATTCATCGGGCGCTCGAGGGTCGGTGAAAGTCGGAGTCGTTTCACGGTTCACGACGTACCAGACGGACTTCTTCAAAAACACACCGCGCATGTATCGACTCCAAGTCGCATAGTTGTCTCCATTGAACTTATCAATGGAGGCGTTGGATGATGAGTTGGTGGTTTACGACATGGCGCTCGGACTCATAACCTGTTGCATTGCAAAGAGCGGAGCGAAGGGTGCGGAGAGGCTGAAGAGAGTAGAGCAGAAGACACTTGCTCACGAGTTGGAAGATTCGGAAGTGATTGATTATCGAGGCTTACTACTAACTACATGATTTACATTGGTGTACATATAAATCATGTGAAGCGTCTCATCATTCGACGCGTTTAATCAACTATGGGTAATTACCGTAAGAACTACGTCGTAAATACTAAGCTGAGCAGGCGGTTCAGATTGAACCGGTCAAGGTTACCAATACTGGTAGAAAACCGATGACCGTCAACACGTTCCCTCAATCCAAACGAGCTCAGATGCCTAGCGCCACTGTTAAGTCCTTGTGGCGCGGTCCGTGAATTCCCTTGGTCATAATGTCTGCCGACATCACCGTCGTCTCGCATTATTCAAGCTTCACTTCACCGCGCTTGACTTCATCGCGAATGTGATGGTATTTGATATCACTGTGTTTGGCGCGGCCGTGGTTGACCAGATTCTTGGTCATTTTGATGCAGGACAAGTTTTCTTCTCGGACCATGAGATCGGGTCCGTCCTCATTAGCAGCTGCCATGATCTCGCACAGTAAGCGGTGGATCCACTTGTCTTCTTGAATCGCCAGACTTAGCGCAATGTACTCCGCTTCACTTGTAGACAGTGACACACTTGGCTGCTTCTTGCTGACCCAACTCACTGGAGCACCCAATAGCATGAAGACGTAGCCAGACGTTGACTTGCGATCAGTAAGGTCGCCGGCCCAGTCTGCGTCCGAATAGCCACGAAAGTCGATCCTTGCACTTGGCTTGGAGCACATTCCATGCATCTTGGTGTCTTGTAGGTAGCGAAAGATGCGCTTGACCGCAACCCAGTGTTCTTCTTGGGGACCTCCACGAAGCGCGACACAAAGCTCACAGCATAGGCAATGTCCGGTCGTTTTGCAGTCGTCAGATGCATCAAAGCACCAACAGCTTCACGGAATGGAACATCGATCTTGTTCGCAGTGCTGCTTGACATCACTCGAGAACTGACATCCACAGGACTCGCCACAGCCTTGCACTCCTCCATTCCAAAGCGCTTGAGGATATCATCGACATAACGGCGCTGACACAGAGTCACACTGCCATCTTCACCGTCCAAAAGCTCGATCCCTAGAACAAATGCACATTTGCCGCTGTCTGTCATCTCAAAACGTGTCTTCAGGTCGTTCTTGTTTCGTGTAATTAGCTCGAGCGAGCTTCCAGTCACCAAGACGTCTTCCACGTCGACCAGTACAAGCACACAATGGCCGTCCGAAGTCTTGATGTAGAGACATGGGTCGAAGCCTGACACTTGAAATCCAATGGAACACACACTCGTCCAAAGTCTCGTTCCATACTCGCAAAGCTTGCTTCAGGCCGTAAATTGCCTTCACCAATTCCAGGCAGTCGAACGTACTATCAAGGTTGACGCCTTCAGGAATCACACAAAACACTTGATCCTTCATGACGCCATACAGGAAAGCCGTCAACACATCAAGATGGTCATGGGCCATCCAAATGGCTTGGAAATTGCGACCACCATTCGCAGAGTCACATACTTGACCACAGGCGAAAATGTCTCCGTGTAGTCGATGCCATACTTTTGGCGGAAACCCTTGGCCACAAGTCGTGCCTTGTACTTCTCTATAGATCCATCCGCTTTACGCTTGATCTTGAAGACCCACTTCTTACCAATGGCGCGTGGTCCGTTAGGTAGCTTGGTTGCACGAACACACCGCGAAGTCGCATTGACTCGAGCTCCGCATGAATGCATTTCCGCTAGTGCACTTTGTCAGGGCTTCTCACTGCTGCCTAAAATGTTGACGACTCCAATAAACCCGCTGCTGTTTCTACGGCATTCGCACTCGCACGCCAAAACACAGGCGGAGTTGATTCATCAGAATTCTTCGTTTCTGCGTCTTCTTCTTAGCATGACGAGTTGCTGTCCGGCGTGCTTGACTCTTCTAGTCCAGGCCGTTGACTCACTGCACGCAGTCGTTGAGCAGCTGCATCTTCATCATCGAGGCGGCTCTTGCGCTTGCCTGTTTGCTTGTACTCTACCTGACGCGGCTCTTCATCATTGAGTGATTTGAATTCCAGGTCATCGGCACCTTCATCAGTGATCGGTGGTGGAAGTCCATGTTGAAAAGACAGCGGCTGTGAAGAAGACACCTCGTCAAGCTGCGTCAAGTGTTGAAGCAAGTGGAAGACCAAGCTTCGCTATACCGGTGGGTACCGGTATGTACCAGTAAGGGCGAAGTCAGGAAATGACGTCATTGCATGACGTCAGTGGGTGACTTCACTGCGAATAATAGGCTTAGAGGTAGTATTCAAAGTTGCGAACTAAGTACCTATTATAAATATATATTCACTTTGCGTTTTGCACTCGGACCAAGAAGTCTAAAGTTCATCAGGTTATGAGCCCAAGTTCGTCAGACTCTGAAACCGCCAACAATTCAAGCTTAGCTGCCATGGACGCCTCCTCCCTCCGCATCTCCAAGTTCGATGGAACTAACTTCCACGCCTGGAAGTTCAAGATGCAGATGGTGCTGGAGGAACGGGACCTATGGGAGGTCGTCAGCGGTGAGATCAAGGCGGAACAGTGCGAGACTCAGTTGGACCAAGCGACGTACAAGAGGAAGTCAAGAAAGGCGATGGCAGTGATCTGTCTAGCCATGGAAGATTCCCAGCTACCGTTGGTCCGGTCGGCAAGTGGTGCATGCGACGCATGGTCAAGGTTGGAAGACCACTTCGAGAAGAAGAGTCTTGCCAACAAGCTGTTCTTGCGCCGTCGCTTCTTCACGACAATGATGGAAGAAGGCGACGATGTGCTCGAACACATCAACAAGCTCAAGACGCTGGCGGAACAGCTAGAAGCGGTGGGGGCTCCAGTCTGCGAGGACGATCTGGTGATCACACTCCTCGGCAGCCTGAGTGACTCGTATCAATTCTTGATCACAGCTTTGGAGTCGCGCTCAGACACTCTTAGCTGGGAGCTCGTGACGTCTCGACTGCTTCATGAAGAAATGAAGCGGAAGGAGCAAGGAAGTAAAGGTGATGAAGCTTCGCAAGGTCAAGCGTTCATCACAAGGGACAATCAGCGCAAAGGGCGACCAGTGAAGAAGTCCTGGCCGTGCCACAATTGCGGAAAGATTGGTCACTGGATGGCGGAGTGCCCCTCGCGCATCCAAGAAAACACGGAGAGACACCGGCCACAGCGTGCTCAAGACAGCGGCGACCGCTATCGATCACAACGTGCAAACGTCGCTCAAGAAGAAGACTCGGGCGACTACCTTTTTTCGATCGGTGAAACGACATCTGCGAAATCAAGCGACATCTGGTTGGTCGACTCCGGGGCGACGCAGCACATGACGTGCTCCAAGAAGTTCATGCGGAACTACAAGGGGTTTGACGCTGTGGATGTCCATCTCGCGGATGATGGAATCGTCCAAGCAATCGGCAGTGGGGACATTGTCATGTCGATGAAGACACCCCAAGGGATGAAGAAAGGTGTGCTCACAAACGTGTGGCACATCCCAAAGTTATCCAGAAACCTGTTCTCGGTCGGCCGCTTCACCAAGGATGTCGGCCCAGTGACGTTCACGAAGGATGGGTGCTATGGAGAAGCGAAAGGGACCAAGTGGAAAATTGGTGCCCGTGAAGGTAAAGGACTGTTCAAGCTGCAAATGACTCCAGTGGCGCCGGAACAAGCAAATGCAGCCAAGTCGTCGGGATGTCAAGGGGGCACCAAGTCGTACCTCTGGCACCTTCGGCTTGGCCACATAGGTCACGATGGACTCAATTGCATCGTGACGAAGAACATTGGAATTGGCATCGACATATCTTCGGTGAAGAAGTGGGACGTGTGTGAAGGTTGTGCTCTGGGAAAACAGACTCGAGTGCGCTTCCAATCAAACACTACAGCTCGCACCTCCAAACTCCTCGAAGTGATTCACAGCGACGTATGCGGACCGATGTCGATGGCAACTTTCAGTGGAAAACGGTACTTCGTGACATTCATCGATGACAAGTCAAGATACTGTGTCGTCTATCTGCTCAAGAGCAAATCTGAAGTTGCGGCGAAGTTCATGGAATATGCTGCGATGGCCGAAACGCAAACCGGAAAGCGCGTGAAGTACCTTCAAAGCGACAATGGGGGTGAATACAAGTCCGACAAGCTGGCACGATTCTGCGCGGAACGGGGAATACAACAAAGGTTCACACCCCCATATACTCCTCAGCTAAACGGAGTAGCTGAGAGAATGAATCGCACGCTGGTCGAGTGTGCGCGTTGCATGATGGAACACGCTGGACTGGGAAAGAGCTACTGGGGTGAAGCAGTGATGACGGCGATGTTTCTTCGAAACCGCTGTCCAACACGTGCCATTCACCAAGACAAGTCTCCATATCAAGTGTGGACGATGAAGAAACCGATTCTGGCCAACCTTAAAGTGTTTGGATGCCACGCGTATGTTCAAGTGCCTCAAGACAAACGCGCGAAGTTCGACTCCAAGTCATCACTCTGTCGTTTCCTGGGATACGCCGAACACCAGAAGTCATATCGATTTGAGGAAGTGTCAACAGGAGCGATCAAGATCAGTCGCGATGCCACATTCATGGAAGACAAGTTTGATGAAGGTCCGCGCAACTACAACGATGAGTCAAGTGCCGTTGAGTTTGATGATCAAGACGGGGACGAAGAAAAAGAAGAAGGTAAAACTGACGACGACATGGACTCGAGCGACGATGAAAACGAAGACACCAGGTCTTCGAAGAGCAACATCAAGAGACACACGTATTGAGGGTTACCGGTACAATCCGAACCTAGCGCGTAGTTCTTACGAGATAGTTTTTACATCGGTAATTACCTCAGAGATGATTAGACGCGTAGGATGATTGGACGCGTGTAAATCAGGTTGATTAGATGCACCATGTGATTGGATGCAGTCTAGGGTAGGCAGAAGTTAAGACCTATAAATCAATCACTTTCGAATCCTCCCTCAAGTGAGCAAGTGTTCTCTGCTTCGTTCTCTCCGGTCTCTCCGCTTCGTTTTCTCTTCGCCTCGCGCTCAAGTTACAACAGGTTATGAGCCCAAGCGCCATGTCGTCCAACAACACCTCGGCCAGTGTCTCCATCGATAAGTTCGATGGGGACAACTACTCAACCTGGTGTCGCTACATGCGCGGCGTGTTTCTGACGAAGTCAGTCTGGTACGTCGTGAACCGCGAAACGTCTCCAACCTTCACCGACACGCGAGCTTCCGACGAGTACGTCAAGGCGAGCAACATCGCGTTCGGGTTGATGTTGCTCCACATGGACGCCGACTACCACCATGTGGTCGACAACTGTGAAGAAGCATGGACAGCGTGGTCGCGGTTGAAGATGCTCTATGGTGGGTCGCAGAAGGCGGGACGCATCTACCTCAAGCGCCAGCTGTTCAGCATCAAGATGGCGGAAGGTGCCAACGTCTTGCACCATTGCAACGAAGTCTTGAACATCGGCGCCAAGCTCAGCAGCATCGGTGCCAAGATGGAAGACGAAGACATTGCGATCTGCTTGCTGCTCAGTCTCCCGAAGAGTTTCGAGAACGTGGTTCTGAACTTGGAGATGAGCAATGCAGAGCTGCGCACGCAAGATGTGGTCAAGGTGCTGACTAACGAGCACATCAAGCGACAAGGCGAGAAGATGACAACGGCAACGACAACGGTGAAGACTGAAGATGCGACAAAGGCATTCAGTACCGAGCGCAAGCCCTACCAATGCACATACTGCGGCAAGGTGGGGCACACGGCAGAGCGTTGCTGGACGAAGCAAAAGGATGAAAGTCGAGGAGCCCAACGCGGCGGCAATGGTCGTGGACGCGGGGCAAACAATGTCCAGTGGCGACATTATGATGAAGGCAACAGCTACGATCGAGTGGCGTTTGCAGTTTCGTTCGAATGCGGAGTTTCGACGAACAAGAATGGACCAGGAATGTGGGCCGTTGACAGCGGGGCAACACATCACATCTGCCACGACAAGTTCAAGTTTGCAAGCTTGGTCGAAGGCAATGATGGCGAGATCCTGGTGGCTGATGGCAACAAGGCGGCCATCAAAGGTGTGGGGACCATCGTGGAAAAGGTGATTCTGCCAAACGGGGAAGAGCGCGAGATCGAGATCAAGAACGCGCTCTATGTGCCCAGCATGAGCAAAAATCTGCTCTCGGTGCCGCAGATTAACAAGCACGGCAACTTCCAAGTGGTGTTTGACGGGGATACGATGTACGTCGCTCGCAAGGATTCCAATCAAGTGGTGGCAGCTGAGGATCTTGTAGACGGACTCTACTGGCTTCGCACGACGCAGCGATCGGCCAATGCGACATCACTCAGCAACGCTGTTGATCTACATGCGCGAATGGGCCATGCTCCAGTCGACGTGCTTCACAGGATGGTGACAAGTCACATGATCAAGGACGCTCACATCCCTTCCAAGCCGAATGGATCAAGTGTGTGTCGAGGATGCCAAGAAGGGAAGATGGTCCAAAAACCATTCCCGAGCAACAGTGACAAGCGCACCTACAACACCTTCGAGATGCTCCACTTCGACATCTGCGGACCCATGGAAGAAAAATCTCTGGGTGGCAGCAAGTATCTGCTGCTGATCGTGGATGAAGCCAGCGGATGCATGAAGGGTTTTTGTCTGCATTCCAAGTCAGAGAGCGAAGATTGCATCAAGAAGTACATCACGATGATACAGACGCAGTTCAACAAGAAGGTCAAGTTTGTGCGACACGATGGAGCCCGCGAGTTTGCGACGAACTCGCTTCAAGATTTCTACGAAGTCGAAGGCATCGAGCAACAAACCACGGTGCCATACGCACATCAAGCCAATGGAACTGCTGAACGCGCGATTCGAACTATCGTCACCATCGGTCGTAGCATGCTCCATCATGCCAAGTTGGACAAGTGCTTCTGGGCTGAAGCGGCAATGACGGCCGTCTATGTGAAGAACCGTTTGCCGTCACCCAAGATTCCACACAAGACACCGTTCGAGATTGTCTACAATTCTAAGCCAAGTGTCAAGCACATGCGCGTTTTTGGGTGCCAAGCATACATCTTGACCCCGAAGGAGAAACGACTCAAGTGGGATCCCAAGGCCCGGGCTGGATTGTTTTTGGGCTACGAAGAAGTGTCCAAGGCGTATCGAGTTTACGACATCGAAGCGGGGCAGGTGATGATAAGTCGCGATGTCAACTTCGATGAGTCGGCCTTTGGAATGTCGATGCTGATTTCCGATGACGATGTTGATGGCCTGGACTTTGAATCGATCGATCTTGATGATGAAGAACCGCGTCCGAGACACTTCAAACAAACAGGAAAGCGCAAGGCCCAACCCAGTCACGACAATGACGACGCAAGCATGCCCCGAGCAGTGCGCCAACGACCCGGATTGGAAGAGTCAAGTGCGCCGGATGACCTCTCTTCACGTCGAGCCAACGAAGATGAAGAAAGGAAGTCGGAAGAACAACATGACACACCGACTTCCTCCGCGTTTTGGCATGCGAGTGCAAACGCCGTCGAAGCAGCGGTCGATTTTTCGGAGCCGTCGACATTTGAAGAAGCAGTGTCTGGCCCGGACCAAGTACACTGGCGCAAGGCAATTGATGCGGAGCTCGATTCGATGAAGCTTCGCGGTGTCTTTCGTGCGGCCAAGTTACCCAACGGACAAAGCGCCATTGGCACAAAGTGGGTCTTCAAGATCAAGCGCAAGGCGGATGGGTCGATCGAGAAATACAAGGCACGACTTGTGGCCAAGGGTTTTCGCCAAAAGTATGGCATCGACTACACGGAGACGTTCTCGCCCGTGGTCAAGTATGTGACGCTGCGAATGGTCATCGCCATTACCAAGCACTTTGGATGGCCCCTCGACCAGCTCGATGTGGTGACTGCGTTCCTGTATGGAGTGATGAAGGAGAAGGTGTTCTGCGCTGTTCCGGAAGGCGTCACGATGGAAGGTGATTTCGACTGTCTCGAGCTGATCAAGGCGATCTACGGTCTCAAGCAAGCCTCGCGTGTTTGGAACGAGACCTTCGACGAGTTCATACGCTCGATTGGTTTTCAAGCGTCGGGATTCGATCCATGTCTCTACATCATGACTTCGGAAGGCCATTGTGTTTTTGTGCTGGTCTACGTGGACGATGTCTTGGTGACTGGAAGCTCGCTCGAGATGATTGCGCGCACCAAGAACGACCTCAAGACACGCTTCGAGATGACGGACAGCGGCAAGTGTGCCTTTGTTCTTGGGATCGAGTTATTGGACGGTGAAGATGGCAGCGTGACTATGTGTCAGCGCCGTTATGTCGACGATGTCCTCAAGCGCTTTGGAATGGATGAGTGCAAGGCTGTGGCAAGTCCGGTGGACGTCAGCTCTCGACTGGTTCCAAGCAACTCTGCAAGCAAGGTGAATGTCCCATTCCGTGAAGCAGTGGGTGCTTTGATGCATCTGACGACTGCAACGCGACCGGACATCGCCTATGCTGTAAGCTTTGTGTCACGGTTCATGGAGAAACCCCAAGAAGAACACTGGGTTGCAGTCAAGCGTATCTTCCGCTACCTACAAGGCACCAAGATGCATGGAATCTGCTACAAGCCAAGTGCGAAGATCGACTTTCGTGGCTATTCAGATGCAGACTGGGCCGGTGACCTTGCTGATCGCAAATCGACGTCCGGCTACGTCTTCATGCTATTGGGTGCTCCGGTGAGTTGGGGCAGCAAGAAACAGCCAAGTGTGTCACTGTCTACAAGCGAAGCGGAGTACATCGCGCTCAGCCTGGCGATCCAAGAAGGCAAGTGGATCAATCGCTTGCTGTGCGAGATCATGGCGGCTGCAAACGAAGAAGGACCCGAGCTCGTCATCCGTGAAGACAACCAGTCGTGCATCAAGATGAAGAAGAATCCGGTCAACCACGGCCGCGCTAAACACATCGACATCAAGTACCATCACATCCGTGATGAAGTCAAGCGCGGCGAAGTGAAGCTTGAATACTGCGAGACGACGTTGATGTTGGCGGACATCATGACGAAGGGACTTCACGGACCGCGTCACAAGGACTTGACGGCGGCGCTTGGCATCCGTGCGTGTTCGGATTGAGGGGGCGTATTGAGGGTTACCGGTACAATCCGAACCTAGCGCGTAGTTCTTACGAGATAGTTTTTACATCGGTAATTACCTCAGAGATGATTAGACGCGTAGGATGATTGGACGCGTGTAAATCAGGTTGATTAGATGCACCATGTGATTGGATGCAGTCTAGGGTAGGCAGAAGTTAAGACCTATAAATCAATCACTTTCGAATCCTCCCTCAAGTGAGCAAGTGTTCTCTGCTTCGTTCTCTCCGGTCTCTCCGCTTCGTTTTCTCTTCGCCTCGCGCTCAAGTTACAACAACACGCGCACTCAATCACTTGAGAAAGCTACCGTCATTCCAAGTCCCAAGCGAAGAACGTACAGAGGTCCGTCGCTTGAGCATGTGTCAGCGGCTGCAATGGATTTTGAAGCAGCCTACATCGTTGATTCAGTGGGGGAAACGCCGACTACATTCAAGTCGGCGATGGAATCAAGCGACTCCGGCAAGTGGAAAAAAGCGTGTGACTCGGAGTTCGACTCGCTTCAGAGAAACGACACGTGGGAAATCGTGCCTCTTCCGAAAGGTCGCAAGGCCATCGGGTGCCGATGGGTTTTTCGTGTAAAGGAGAATCAAGATGGCAAAGTTGAACGTTTCAAGGCAAGACTTGTGGCCAAAGGATTCTCACAGAAATTCGGAGTTGACTATGAAGAAACTTTCGCACCGGTGGCCAAGTTCACATCGATTCGTGTGGTGCTCAGTATGGCGGCCAAGTACGGCCTAATGCTACATCAGATGGACGTCAAGACAGCGTTTCTTAACGGCTCCCTCAACGAAGACATTTACATGGACCAGCCGGACGGATACCTGGATGCAACACAGCCGGACTATGTGTGCAAGCTAAAGAGATCACTCTACGGCTTGAAGCAATCGCCTCGCATGTGGAACCAAACAATCGATGGGTTCATGATCAAGATGGGATTCAAGAAGTGCGAATCGGACCACTGCATCTACATCAAGCGAGACGACCAAGACATGATTCTCGTGGTACTCTACGTCGATGATCTCATCCTGGCCAGCAGCAACAACGAACTCCTCAAGTCAACCAAGATGGCGCTGAGCAAACGCTTCGAAATGACGGATATCGGTGAGCTCGATTACTTTCTCGGCATGGAGATCAAGAACGACCGTAAGACGGGAATGGTGACTGTGCAACAAACCAAGTTTCTCAAGTCCGTGTTAACCAAGTTCGGAATGGATAACAGCAAGCCAGTGAAGACGCCTCAAGATCCCGGCCTGAAGCTAACCAAGAACATGTGTGAACAAGAATGCAAGCACGAAGACACCATGTGCAACGTGCCATATCGAAGTGCTGTCGGAGGCATCATGTATCTCATGGTCGCCACACGTCCGGATCTAGCTGCTGCAGTGGGATCATTATCCCAGTTCTCGTCCGACCCATGCCCGACTCACTGGCAAGCTTTGAAGCGTGTGCTGAGATACCTGCAAGCAACGCCCAATCATGGTCTTGAGTTTACACGTGAAGAAGGAAGCCGTATCTGCGGGTACACCGACGCAGACTGGGCCGGCGACATTGAGTCAAGACGAAGTACAAGCGGCTATGTGTTCATGATGAGCGGAGGATGCATCAGCTGGAAAAGCCAGAAACAACGGACGGTCGCGCTATCTTCAACAGAAGCAGAATACATGGCGCTTTCCGAAGCAACCAAAGAAGCAGTATGGCTCAAGGTGCTTTTGGGGGAACTTGGTGAGATGACAAGCGACGAAGCGATCAAGATGTATGAAGACAACCAAGGATCAATCTCTCTCGCCAAGAACCCGGAGTTCCATAAGAGAACAAAACACATCGACATACGCTACCATTTTGTGCGTGAGAAGGTGGAATCAGGTGAAGTCGTTTTGGAGTATTGCCCGACTCAAGATATGCTGGCAGACATGATGACCAAGCCGATCGCCGCTGTACAATTTGAAAACATTCGCGATCGACTTGGGATCCAAGGTGCCGCAGCTAACGAGTCGAGAGGGAGTGTTGAAAAGACAGCGGCTGTGAAGAAGACACCTCGTCAAGCTGCGTCAAGTGTTGAAGCAAGTGGAAGACCAAGCTTCGCTATACCGGTGGGTACCGGTATGTACCAATAAGGGCGAAGTCAGGAAATGACGTCAGTGGGTGACGTCAGTGGGTGACGTCAGTGGGTGACGTCACTGGATGACGTCACTGCGAATAATAGGCTTAGAGGTAGTATTCAAAGTTGCGAACTAAGTACCTATTATAAATATATATTCACTTTGCGTTTTGCACTCGGACCAAGAAGTCTAAAGTTCATCAGTCCACAGGTGGATTCGTCGAAGTTGACATCACGATTGACGACCACCTTCCCCGCCTCAACGTCATAAACTTGATACGCCTTCGACGCTTCTTCGTAGCCCACGAGCATGCCAGCGCCAGCCTTTGGATCCCACTTGAGTCGATTCTCTTTTGCGTCAGTATGTATGTCTGACATCCAAATGCTCGCATGTGCTCGACGCTTGGTTTCGAGTTGTAGACAATCTCAAACGGGGTCTTGTGTACATCTTTAGGCGGCGGCAGTCGATTCTTGACGTAGATGGCCGTCATCGCTGCTTCAGCCCAGGAACACTTGTCCAGTTTGGCATGATGAAGCATGCTGCGGCCGATCGTGACAATAGTCCTAATGGCACGCTCTGCTGTTCCGTTTGTTTGATGCGCATATGCACCGTTGTCTGCTTTTCAATGCCTTCATCTTCGTAGAACAATCGAAGCGAGTGGGTTGCGAACTCGCGAGCTCCGTCGTGTAGCACAAACTTGACCTTCTTACTGAACTGCGTCTGTACCATGGTTAAATATTTCCGGATGTAGTCTTCACTCTCGGACTTCACTCGAAAAAAACCCTTCACACATCCACTGGCTTCGTCTACGATCACTAGCAGATTTCTGCTGCCACCGATCGATTCGTTTTTCATGGGCACACAGATGTCTAGATGAAGCAGCTCGAACGTATCGTAGTTACGCTTGTCGCGGTTGATTGGGAATGTTTTTTAGACCATTTTACCTTGTTGGAACCCTCAACATGCAGTTGCTCCACCCGACTTCAGAGGGACTCGCACATCCTTGATCATGTTGGTCGTGATCATCTTGCGCAGTACATCGACTGGAGCATGACCCATTCGCGAATGTAGGTCAGCACAACTGTTTCCACTTGTTGTCACATTCGCTGATCGTTGAGTCGTACGAAGCCAGTAAAGTCCATCCACAAGATCCGCTGTCGCCACCACTTGCTGTGAGTTCTTGAGAGTCACATACATCTTGGACCCGTTAAACACGACTTGGAACTTGCCATGCGTGTTGATCTGTGGCACCGAAAGAAGGTTCTTGATAATACTTCGAGCATATAACGCTTTCTTGATCTTGATCTCGCGCTCTTCACCGTTGGGCAGAACCACCTTTTCAATGATGGATCCCACACCCTCGATGGCCGCTTGATACCATCATCCACCAGGATCTCGCCATCGTTTCCTTTGACCAAGCTGTAAACTTGTTTTTGTCGTGGCAAATGTGGTGCGTTTCACGACGGCCCATTCCAGACATGTCCTTGCTCGTCAAAACTCCACTTACTTTTAGACGAGCCTTCATCCATCTTGATGCTGAAAAGTCGCCGATTAAGGAAGATGCGTTCTGCCTTCTGCGACCTACCGTACAGCGTCTTCAGACTTGTCCACGCAACACACGCTTCCTCGAATTTGTCAAGCACATGGTGGTAATCCGCATTCATGTGCAGCAGCATCATACCAAATGCGACATTGCTCGCCTTGACGTAGTCATCGGGCGCTCGAGGGTCGGTGAAAGTCGGAGTCGTTTCACGGTTCACGACGTACCAGACGGACTTCTTCAAAAACACACCGCGCATGTATCGACTCCAAGTCGCATAGTTGTCTCCATTGAACTTATCAATGAAGGCGTTGGATGATGAGTTGGTGGTTTACGACATGGCGCTCGGACTCATAACCTGTTGCATTGCAAAGAGCGGAGCGAAGGGTGCGGAGAGGCTGAAGAGAGTAGAGCAGAAGACACTTGCTCACGAGTTGGAAGATTCGGAAGTGATTGATTATCGAGGCTTACTACTAACTACATGATTTACATTGGTGTACATATAAATCATGTGAAGCGTCTCATCATCCGACGCGTTTAATCAACTATGGGTAATTACCGTAAGAACTACGTCGTAAAAGCTGAGCAGGCGGTTCAGATTGAACCGGTCAAGGTTACCAATACTGGTAGAAAACCGATGACCGTCAACACGTTCCCTCAATCCAAACGAGCTCAGATGCCTAGCGCCACTGTTAAGTCCTTGTGGCGCGGTCCGTGAATTCCCTTGGTCATAATGTCTGCCGACATCACCGTCGTCTCGCATTATTCAAGCTTCACTTCACCGCGCTTGACTTCATCGCGAATGTGATGGTATTTTATATCACTGTGTTTGGCGCGGCCGTGGTTGACCGGATTCTTGGTCATTTTGATGCAGGACTGGTTTTCTTCTCGGACCATGAGATCGGGTCCGTCCTCATTAGCAGCTGCCATGATCTCGCACAATAGACGGTGGATCCACTTGCCTTCCTCGATGGCCAGACGTAGCACGATGAATTCCGCTTCACTTGTCGACAGTGACACGCTTGACCGCTTCTTGCTGACCCAACTCACTGGAGCACCCAATAGCATGAAGACGTAGCCAGACGTTGACTTGCGATCAGTAAGGTCGCCGGCCCAGTCTTCGTCCGAATAGCCACGAAAGTCGATCCTTGCACTTGGCTTGGAGCACATTCCATGCATCTTGGTGTCTTGTAGGTAGCGAAAGATGCGCTTGACCGCAACCCAGTGTTCTTCTTGGGGACCTCCACGAAGCGCGACACAAAGCTCACAGCATAGGCAATGTCCGGTCGTTTTGCAGTCGTCAGATGCATCAAAGCACCAACAGCTTCACGGAATGGAACATCGATCTTGCTCGCTGTGCTGCTTGACATCAGTCGAGAACTGACATCCACAGGACTCGCCACAGCCTTGCACTCCTCCATTCCAAAGCGCTTGAGGACATCATCGACATAATGGCGCTGACACAGAGTCACACTGCCATCTTCACCGTCCAAAAGCTCGATCCCAAGAACAAATGAATACTTGCCGCTGTCTGCCATCTAAAAACGTGTCTCTAAGTCGTTCTTGGTTCGTGCAATTAGCTCAAGCGAGATTCCAGTTACCAAGACGTCTTTCACGTCGACCAGTACAAGCACACAATGGCCGTCCGAAGTCTTGATGTAGAGACATGGGTCGAAGTACGACGCTTGGAATCCAATGGAGCACACAAACTCGTCGAACATCTCGTTCCACACTCGCGACGCTTGCTTGAGGCCGTAAATTGACTTCACCAATTCCAGGCAGTCGAACGTACTATCAAGGTTGACGCCTTCAGGAATCACACAGAACACTTGTTCCTTCATGACGCCATACAGGAAAGCCGTCAACACATCAAGCTGGTCATGGGCCATCCAAATGGCTTGGAAATTGCGACCACCATTCGCAGAGTCACATACTTGACCACAGGCGAAAATGTCTCCGTGTAGTCGATGCCATACTTTTGGCGGAAACCCTTGGCCACAAGTCGTGCCTTGTACTTCTCTATAGATCCATCCGCTTTACGCTTGATCTTGAAGACCCACTTCTTACCAATGGCGCGTGGTCCGTTAGGTAGCTTGGTTGCACGAACACACCGCGAAGTCGCATTGACTCGAGCTCCGCATGAATGCATTTCCGCTAGTGCACTTTGTCAGGGCTTCTCACTGCTGCCTAAAGTGTTGACGACTCCAATAAACCCGCTGCTGTTTCTACGGCATTCGCACTCGCACGCCAAAACACAGGCGGAGTTGATTCATCAGAATTCTTCGTTTCTGCGTCTTCTTCTTAGCATGACGAGTTGCTGTCCGGCGTGCTTGACTCTTCTAGTCCAGGCCGTTGACTCACTGCACGCAGTCGTTGAGCAGCTGCATCTTCATCATCGAGGCGGCTCTTGCGCTTGCCTGTTTGCTTGTACTCTACCTGACGCGGCTCTCCATCATTGAGTAATTTGAATTCCAGGTCATCGGCACCTTCATCAGTGATCGGTGGTGGAAGTCCACAGGTGGATTCGTCGAAGTTGACATCACGATTGACGACCACCTTCCCCGCCTCAACGTCATAAACTTGATACGCCTTCGACGCTTCTTCGTAGCCCACGAGCATGCCAGCGCCAGCCTTTGGATCCCACTTGAGTCGATTCTCTTTCGCGTCAGTATGTGCGTCTGACATCCAAATGCTCGCATGTGCTCGACGCTTGGTTTCGAGTTGTAGACAATCTCAAACGGGGTCTTGTGTACATCTTTAGGCGGCGGCAGTCGATTCTTGACGTAGATGGCCGTCATCGCTGCTTCAGCCCAGGAACACTTGTCCAGTTTGGCATGATGAAGCTGATGAACTTTAGACTTCTTGGTCCGAGTGCAAAACGCAAAGTGAATATATATTTATAATAGGTACTTAGTTCGCAACTTTGAATACTACCTCTAAGCCTATTATTCGCAGTGACGTCATCCAGTGACGTCACCCACTGACGTCATGCAATGACGTCATCCAGTGACGTCACCCACTGACGTCATCCAATGACGTCATTTCCTGACTTCGCCCTTACTGGTACATACCGGTACCCACCGGTATAGCGAAGCTTGGTCTTCTACTTGCTTCAACACTTGACGCAGCTTGACGAGGTGTCTTCTTCACAGCCGCTGTCTTTTCAACACTCCCTCTCGACTCGTTAGCTGCGGCACCTTGGATCCCAAGTCGATCGCGAATGTTTTCAAATTGTACAGCGGCGGTCGGCTTGGTCATCATGTCTGCCAGCATATCTTGAGTCGGGCAATACTCCAAAACGACTTCACCTGATTCCACCTTCTCACGCACAAAATGGTAGCGTATGTCGATGTGTTTTGTTCTCTTATGGAACTCCGGGTTCTTGGCGAGAGCGATTGATCCTTGGTTGTCTTCATACATCTTGATCGCTTCGTCGCTTGTCATCTCACCAAGTTCCCCCAAAAGCACCTTGAGCCATACTGCTTCTTTGGTTGCTTCGGAAAGCGCCATGTATTCTGCTTCTGTTGAAGATAGCGCGACCGTCCGTTGTTTCTGGCTTTTCCAGCTGATGCATCCTCCGTTCATCATGAACACATAGCCGCTTGTACTTCGTCTTGACTCAATGTCGCCGGCCCAGTCTGCGTCGGTGTACCCGCAGATACGGCTTCCTTCTTCACGTGTAAACTCAAGACCATGATTGGGCGTTGCTTGCAGGTATCTCAGCACACGCTTCAAAGCTTGCCAGTGAGTCGGGCATGGGTCGGACGAGAACTGGGATAATGATCCCACTGCAGCAGCTAGATCCGGACGTGTGGCGACCATGAGATACATGATGCCTCCGACAGCACTTCGATATGGCACGTTGCACATGGTGTCTTCGTGCTTGCATTCTTGTTCACACATGTTCTTGGTTAGCTTCAGGCCGGGATCTTGAGGCGTCTTCACTGGCTTGCTGTTATCCATTCCGAACTTGGTTAACACGGACTTGAGAAACTTGGTTTGTTGCACAGTCACCATTCCCGTCTTACGGTCGTTCTTGATCTCCATGCCGAGAAAGTAATCGAGCTCACCGATATCCGTCATTTCGAAGCGTTTGCTCAGCGCCATCTTGGTCGACTTGAGGAGTTCGTTGTTGCTGCTGGCCAGGATGAGATCATCGACGTAGAGCACCACGAGAATCATGTCTTGGTCGTCTCGCTTGATGTAGATGCAGTGGTCCGATTCGCACTTCTTGAATCCCATCTTGATCATGAACCCATCGATTGTTTGGTTCCACATGCGAGGCGATTGCTTCAAGCCGTAGAGTGATCTCTTTAGCTTGCACACATAGTCCGGCTGTGTTGCATCCAGGTATCCGTCCGGCTGGTCCATGTAGATGTCTTCGTTGAGGGAGCCGTTAAGAAACGCTGTCTTGACGTCCATCTGATGTAGCATTAGGCCGTACTTGGCCGCCATACTGAGCACCACACGAATCGATGTGAACTTGGCCACCGGTGCGAAAGTTTCTTCATAGTCAACTCCGAATTTCTGTGAGAATCCTTTGGCCACAAGTCTTGCCTTGAAACGTTCAACTTTGCCATCTTGATTCTCCTTTACACGAAAAACCCATCGGCACCCGATGGCCTTGCGACCTTTCGGAAGAGGCACGATTTCCCACGTGTCGTTTCTCTGAAGCGAGTCGAACTCCGAGTCACACGCTTCTTTCCACTTGCCGGAGTCGCTTGATTCCATCGCCGACTTGAATGTAGTCGGCGTTTCCCCCACTGAATCAACGATGTAGGCTGCTTCAAAATCCATTGCAGCCGCTGACACATGCTCAAGCGACGGACCTCTGTATGTTCTTCGCTTGGGACTTGGAATGACGGTAGCTTTCTCAAGTGATTGAGTGCGCGTGTGTCTCTTGATGTTGCTCTTCGAAGACCTGGTGTCTTCGTTGTCATCGTCGCTCGAGTCCATGTCGTCGTCAGTTTTACCTTCTTCTTTTTCTTCGTCCCCGTCTTGATCATCAAACTCAACGGCACTTGACTCATCGTTGTAGTTGCGCGGACCTTCATCAAACTTGTCTTCCATGAATGTGGCATCGCGACTGATCTTGATCGCTCCTGTTGACACTTCCTCAAATCGATATGACTTCTGGTGTTCGGCGTATCCCAGGAAACGACAGAGTGATGACTTGGAGTCGAACTTCGCGCGTTTGTCTTGAGGCACTTGAACATACGCGTGGCATCCAAACACTTTAAGGTTGGCCAGAATCGGTTTCTTCATCGTCCACACTTGATATGGAGACTTGTCTTGGTGAATGGCACGTGTTGGACAGCGGTTTCGAAGAAACATCGCCGTCATCACTGCTTCACCCCAGTAGCTCTTTCCCAGTCCAGCGTGTTCCATCATGCAACGCGCACACTCGACCAGCGTGCGATTCATTCTCTCAGCTACTCCGTTTAGCTGAGGAGTATATGGGGGTGTGAACCTTTGTTGTATTCCCCGTTCCGCGCAGAATCGTGCCAGCTTGTCGGACTTGTATTCACCCCCATTGTCGCTTTGAAGGTACTTCACGCGCTTTCCGGTTTGCGTTTCGGCCATCGCAGCGTATTCCATGAACTTCGCCGCAACTTCAGATTTGCTCTTGAGCAGATAGACGACACAGTATCTTGACTTGTCATCGATGAATGTCACGAAGTACCGTTTTCCACTGAAAGTTGCCATCGACATCGGTCCGCATACGTCGCTGTGAATCACTTCGAGGAGTTTGGAGGTGCGAGCTGTAGTGTTTGATTGGAAGCGCACTCGAGTCTGTTTTCCCAGAGCACAACCTTCACACACGTCCCACTTCTTCACCGAAGATATGTCGATGCCAATTCCAATGTTCTTCGTCACGATGCAATTGAGTCCATCGTGACCTATGTGGCCAAGCCGAAGGTGCCAGAGGTACGACTTGGTGCCCCCTTGACATCCCGACGACTTGGCTGCATTTGCTTGTTCCGGCGCCACTGGAGTCATTTGCAGCTTGAACAGTCCTTTAACTTCACGGGCACCAATTTTCCACTTGGTCCCTTTCGCTTCTCCATAGCACCCATCCTTCGTGAACGTCACTGGGCCGACATCCTTGGTGAAGCGGCCGACCGAGAACAGGTTTCTGGATAACTTTGGGATGTGCCACACGTTTGTGAGCACACCTTTATTCATCCCTTGGGGTGTCTTCATCGACATGACAATGTCCCCACTGCCGATTTCTTGGACGATTCCATCATCCGCGAGATGGACATCCACAGCGTCAAACCCCTTGTAGTTCCGCATGATCTTCTTGGAGCACGTCATGTGCTGCGTCGCCCCGGAGTCGACCAGCCAGATGTCGCTTGATTTCGCAGATGTCGTTTCACCGATCGAAAAGAGGTAGTCGCCCGAGTCTTCTTCTTGAGCGACGTTTGCACGTTGTGATCGATAGCGGTCGCCGCTGTCTTGAGCACGCTGTGGCCGGTGTCTCTCCGTGTTTTCTTGGATGCGCGAGGGGCACTCCGCCATCCAGTGACCAATCTTTCCGCAATTGTGGCACAGCCAGGACTTCTTCACTGGTCGCCCTTTGCGCTGATTGTCCCTTGTGATGAACGCTTGACCTTGCGAAGCTTCATCACCTTTACTTCCTTGCTCCTTCCGCTTCATTTCTTCATGAAGCAGTCGAGACGTCACGAGCTCCCAGCTAAGAGTGTCTGAGCGCGACTCCAAAGCTGTGATCAAGAATTGATACGAGTCACTCAGGCTGCCGAGAAGTGTGATCACCAGATCGTCCTCGCATACTGGAGCCCCCACCGCTTCTAGCTGTTCCGCCAGCGTCTTGAGCTTGTTGATGTGTTCGAGCACATCGTCGCCTTCTTCCATCATTGTCGTGAAGAAGCGACGGCGCAAGAACAGCTTGTTGGCAAGACTCTTCTTCTCGAAGTGGTCTTCCAACCTTGACCATGCGTCGCATGCACCACTTGCCGACCGGACCAACGGTAGCTGGGAATCTTCCATGGCTAGACAGATCACTGCCATCGCCTTTCTTGACTTCCTCTTGTACGTCGCTTGGTCCAACTGAGTCTCGCACTATTCCGCCTTGATCTCACCGCTGACGACCTCCCATAGGTCCCGTTCCTCCAGCACCATCTGCATCTTGAACTTCCAGGCGTGGAAGTTAGTTCCATCGAACTTGGAGATGCGGAGGGAGGAGGCGTCCATGGCAGCTAAGCTTGAATTGTTGGCGGTTTCAGAGTCTGACGAACTTGGGCTCATAACCTGATGAACTTTAGACTTCTTGGTCCGAGTGCAAAACGCAAAGTGAATATATATTTATAATAGGTACTTAGTTCGCAACTTTGAATACTACCTCTAAGCCTATTATTCGCAGTGACGTCATCCAGTGACGTCACCCACTGACGTCACCCACTGACGTCATGCAATGACGTCATCCAGTGACGTCACCCACTGACGTCATCCAATGACGTCATTTCCTGACTTCGCCCTTACTGGTACATACCGGTACCCACCGGTATAGCGAAGCTTGGTCTTCCACTTGCTTCAACACTTGACGCAGCTTGACGAGGTGTCTTCTTCACAGCCGCTGTCTTTTCAACAGAAGCATGCTGCGGCCGATCGTGACGATAGTTCTAATAGCACGCTCTGTTGTTCCGTTGGTTTGATGCGCATATGCACCGTTGTCTGCTTTTCAATGCCTTCATCTTCGTAGAACAATCGAAGCGAGTTGGTTGCGAGCTCGCGGGCTCCGTCGTGTAGCACAAACTTGACCTTCTTACTCAACTGCGTCTGTACCATGGTTAAATATTTCCGGATGTAGTCTTCACTCTCGGACTTCACTCGTAAAAAGCCCTTCATACATCCACTGGCTTCGTCTACGATCAGTGCCAAATATCTGCTGCCACCGAGCGATTCGTTTTTCATGGGCACACAGATGTCTAGATGAAGCAGCTCGAACGTATCGTAGTTACGCTTGTCGCGGTTGATTGGGAATGGTTTATGGACCATTTTCCCTTGTTGGAACCCTCAACATGCAGTTGCTCCACCCGACTTCAGAGGGACTCGCACATCCTTGATCATGTTGGTCGTGATCACCTTGCGTAGTACGTCGACTGAAGCGTGACCCATTCGCGAATGTAGGTCAGCACAACTGTTTCCACTTGTTGTCACATTTGCTTATCGCTGAGTCGTACGAAGCCAGTAAAGTCCATCCACAAGGTCCGCTGTCGCCACCACTTGCTGTGAGTTCTTGAGAGTCACATACATCTTGGAACCGTTAAACACGACTTGGAACTTGCCATGCGTGTTGATCTGTGGCACCAAAAGAAGGTTCTTGATAATACTTCGAGCATATAACGCTTTCTTGATCTTGATCTCGCGCTCTTCACAGTTGGACAGAACCACCTTTTCAATGATGGATCCCACACCCTCGATGGCCGCTTGATACCATCATCCACCAGGATCTCGCCATCGTTTCCTTTGACCAAGCTGTAAACTTGTTTTTGTCGTGGCAAATGTGGTGCGTTTCACGACGGCCCATTCCAGACATGTCCTTGCTCGTCAAAACTCCACTTATTTTTAGACGAGCCTTCATCCATCTTGATGCTGAAAAGTCGCCGATTAAGGAAGATGCGTTCTGCCTTCTGCGACCTACCGTACAGCGTCTTCAGACTTGTCCACGCAACACACGCTTCCTCGAATTTGTCAAGCACATGGTGGTAATCCGCATTCATGTGCAGCAGCATCATACCAAATGCGACATTGCTCGCCTTGACGTAGTCATCGGGCGCTCGAGGGTCGGTGAAAGTCGGAGTCGTTTCACGGTTCACGACGTACCAGACGTACTTCTTCAAAAACACACCGCGCATGTATCGACTCCAAGTCGCATAGTTGTCTCCATTGAACTTATCAATGGAGGCGTTGGATGATGAGTTGGTGGTTTACGACATGGCGCTCGGACTCATAACCTGTTGCATTGCAAAGAGCGGAGCGAAGGGTGCGGAGAGGCTGAAGAGAGTAGAGCAGAAGACACTTGCTCACGAGTTGGAAGATTCGGAAGTGATTGATTATCGAGGCTTACTACTAACTACATGATTTACATTGGTGTACATATAAATCATGTGAAGCGTCTCATCATCCGACGCGTTTAATCAACTATGGGTAATTACCGTAAGAACTACGTCGTAAAAGCTGAGCAGGCGGTTCAGATTGAACCGGTCAAGGTTACCAATACTGGTAGAAAACCGATGACCGTCAACACGTTCCCTCAATCCAAACGAGCTCAGATGCCTAGCGCCACTGTTAAGTCCTTGTGGCGCGGTCCGTGAATTCCCTTGGTCATAATGTCTGCCGACATCACCGTCGTCTCGCATTATTCAAGCTTCACTTCACCGCGCTTGACTTCATCGCGAATGTGATGGTATTTTATATCACTGTGTTTGGCGCGGCCGTGGTTGACCGGATTCTTGGTCATTTTGATGCAGGACTGGTTTTCTTCTCGGACCATGAGATCGGGTCCGTCCTCATTAGCAGCTGCCATGATCTCGCACAGTAAGCGGTGGATCCACTTGCCTTCTTGAATCGCCAGACTTAGCGCAATGTACTCCGCTTCACTTGTAGACAGTGACACACTTGGCTGCTTCTTGCTGACCCAACTCACTGGAGCACCCAATAGCATGAAGACGTAGCCAGACGTTGACTTGCGATCAGTAAGGTCGCCGGCCCAGTCTTCGTCCGAATAGCCACGAAAGTCGATCCTTGCACTTGGCTTGGAGCACATTCCATGCATCTTGGTGTCTTGTAGGTAGCGAAAGATGCGCTTGACCGCAACCCAGTGTTCTTCTTGGGGACCTCCACGAAGCGCGACACAAAGCTCACAGCATAGGCAATGTCCGGTCGTTTTGCAGTCGTCAGATGCATCAAAGCACCAACAGCTTCACGGAATGGAACATCGATCTTGCTCGCTGTGCTGCTTGACATCAGTCGAGAACTGACATCCACAGGAATCGCCACAGCCTTGCACTCCTCCATTCCAAAGCGCTTGAGGACATCATCGACATAATGGCGCTGACACAGAGTCACACTGCCATCTTCACCGTCCAAAAGCTCGATCCCAAGAACAAATGAATACTTGCCGCTGTCTGCCATCTAAAAACGTGTCTTCAAGTCGTTCTTGGTTCGTGCAATTAGCTCAAGCGAGATTCCAATTACCAAGACGTCTTTCACGTCGACCAGTACAAGCACACAATGGCCGTCCGAAGTCTTGATGTAGAGACATGGGTCGAAGTACGACGTGTTGAAAAGACAGCGGCTGTGAAGAAGACACCTCGTCAAGCTGCGTCAAGTGTTGAAGCAAGTGGAAGACCAAGCTTCGCTATACCGGTGGGTACCGGTATGTACCAGTAAGGGCGAAGTCAGGAAATGACGTCATTGGATGACGTCAGTGGGTGACGTCACTGGATGACGTCACTGCAAATAATAGGCTTAGAGGTAGTATTCAAAGTTGCGAACTAAGTACCTATTATAAATATATATTCACTTTGCGTTTTGCACTCGGACCAAGAAGTCTAAAGTTCATCAGGTTATGAGCCCAAGTTCGTCAGACTCTGAAACCGCCAACAATTCAAGCTTAGCTGCCATGGACGCCTCCTCCCTCCGCATCTCCAAGTTCGATGGAACTAACTTCCACGCCTGGAAGTTCAAGATGCAGATGGTGCTGGAGGAACGGGACCTATGGGAGGTCGTCAGCGGTGAGATCAAGGTGGAACAGTGCGAGACTCAGTTGGACCAAGCGACGTACAAGCGGAAGTCAAGAAAGGCGATGGCAGTGATCTGTCTAGCCATGGAAGATTCCCAGCTACCGTTGGTCCGGTCGGCAAGTGGTGCATGCGACGCATGGTCAAGGTTGGAAGACCACTTCGAGAAGAAGAGTCTTGCCAACAAGCTGTTCTTGCGCCGTCGCTTCTTCACGACAATGATGGAAGAAGGCGACGATGTGCTCGAACAAATCAACAAGCTCAAGACGCTGGCGGAACAGCTAGAAGCAGTGGGGGCTCCAGTATGCGAGGACGATCTGGTGATCACACTTCTCGGCAGCCTGAGTGACTCGTATCAATTCTTGATCACAGCTTTGGAGTCGCGCTCAGACACTCTTAGCTGGGAGCTCGTGACGTCTCGACTGCTTCATGAAGAAATGAAGCGGAAGGAGCAAGGAAGTAAAGGTGATGAAGCTTCGCAAGGTCAAGCGTTCATCACAAGGGACAATCAGCGCAAAGGGCGACCAGTGAAGAAGTCCTGGCTGTGCCACAATTGCGGAAAGATTGGTCACTGGATGGCGGAGTGCCCCTCGCGCATCCAAGAAAACACGGAGAGACACCGGCCACAGCGTGCTCAAGACAGCGGCGACCGCTATCGATCACAACGTGCAAACGTCGCTCAAGAAGAAGACTCGGGCGACTACCTCTTTTCGATCGGTGAAACGACATCTGCGAAATCGAGCGACATCTGGCTGGTCGACTCCGGGGCGACGCAGCACATGACGTGCTCCAAGAAGTTCATGCGGAACTACAAGGGGTTTGACGCTGTGGATGTCCATCTCGCGGATGATGGAATCGTCCAAGCAATCGGCAGTGGGGACATTGTCATGTCGATGAAGACACCCCAAGGGATGAAGAAAGGTGTGCTCACAAACGTGTGGCACATCCCAAAGTTATCCAGAAACCTGTTCTCGGTCGGCCGCTTCACCAAGGATGTCGGCCCAGTGACGTTCACGAAGGATGGGTGCTATGGAGAAGCGAAAGGGACCAAGTGGAAAATTGGTGCCCGTGAAGGTAAAGGACTGTTCAAGCTGCAAATGACTCCAGTGGCGCCGGAACAAGCAAATGCAGCCAAGTCGTCGGGATGTCAAGGGGGCACCAAGTCGTACCTCTGGCACCTTCGGCTTGGCCACATAGGTCACGATGGACTCAATTGCATCGTGACGAAGAACATTGGAATTGGCATCGACATATCTTCGGTGAAGAAGTGGGACGTGTGTGAAGGTTGTGCTCTGGGAAAACAGACTCGAGTGCGCTTCCAATCAAACACTACAGCTCGCACCTCCAAACTCCTCGAAGTGATTCACAGCGACGTATGCGGACCGATGTCGATGGCAACTTTCAGTGGAAAACGGTACTTCGTGACATTCATCGATGACAAGTCAAGATACTGTGTCGTCTATCTGCTCAAGAGCAAATCTGAAGTTGCGGCGAAGTTCATGGAATACGCTGCGATGGCCGAAACGCAAACCGGAAAGCGCGTGAAGTACCTTCAAAGCGACAATGGGGGTGAATACAAGTCCGACAAGCTGGCACGATTCTGCGCGGAACGGGGAATACAACAAAGGTTCACACCCCCATATACTCCTCAGCTAAACGGAGTAGCTGAGAGAATGAATCGCACGCTGGTCGAGTGTGCGCGTTGCATGATGGAACACGCTGGACTGGGAAAGAGCTACTGGGGTGAAGCAGTGATGACGGCGATGTTTCTTCGAAACCGCTGTCCAACACGTGCCATTCACCAAGACAAGTCTCCATATCAAGTGTGGACGATAAAGAAACCGATTCTGGCCAACCTTAAAGTGTTTGGATGCCACGCGTATGTTCAAGTGCCTCAAGACAAACGCGCGAAGTTCGACTCCAAGTCATCACTCTGTCGTTTCCTGGGATACGCCGAACACCAGAAGTCATATCGATTTGAGGAAGTGTCAACAGGAGCGATCAAGATCAGTCGCGATGCCACATTCATGGAAGACAAGTTTGATGAAGGTCCGCGCAACTACAACGATGAGTCAAGTGCCGTTGAGTTTGATGATCAAGACGGGGACGAAGAAAAAGAAGAAGGTAAAACTGACGACGACATGGACTCGAGCGACGATGACAACGAAGACACCAGGTCTTCGAAGAGCAACATCAAGAGACACACGCGCACTCAATCAATTGAGAAAGCTACCGTCATTCCAAGTCCCAAGCGAAGAACGTACAGAGGTCCGTCGCTTGAGCATGTGTCAGCGGCTGCAATGGATTTTGAAGCAGCCTACATCGTTGATTCAGTGGGGGAAACGCCGACTACATTCAAGTCGGCGATGGAATCAAGCGACTCCGGCAAGTGGAAAGAAGCGTGTGACTCGGAGTTCGACTCGCTTCAGAGAAACGACACGTGGGAAATCGTGCCTCTTCCAAAAGGTCGCAAGGCCATCGGGTGCCAATGGGTTTTTCGTGTAAAGGAGAATCAAGATGGCAAAGTTGAACGTTTCAAGGCAAGACTTGTGGCCAAAGGATTCTCACAGAAATTCGGAGTTGACTATGAAGAAACTTTCGCACCGGTGGCCAAGTTCACATCGATTCGTGTGGTGCTCAGTATGGCGGCCATGTACGGCCTAATGCTACATCAGATGGACGTCAAGACAGCGTTTCTTAACGGCTCCCTCAACGAAGACATCTACATGGACCAGCCGGACGGATACCTGGATGCAGCACAGCCGGACTATGTGTGCAAGCTAAAGAGATCACTCTACGGCTTGAAGCAATCGCCTCGCATGTGGAACCAAACAATCGATGGGTTCATGATCAAGATGGGATTCAAGAAGTGCGAATCGGACCACTGCATCTACATCAAGCGAGACGACCAAGACATGATTCTCGTGGTGCTCTACGTCGATGATCTCATCCTGGCCAGCAGCAACAACGAACTCTTCAAGTCGACCAAGATGGCGCTGAGCAAACGCTTCGAAATGACGGATATCGGTGAGCTCGATTACTTTCTCGGCATGGAGATCAAGAACGACCGTAAGACGGGAATGGTGACTGTGCAACAAACCAAGTTTCTCAAGTCCGTGTTGACCAAGTTCGGAATGGATAACAGCAAGCCTGTGAAGACACCCCAAGATCCTGGACTCAAGCTGGTCAAGAACATGTGTGAATAAGGATGCAATCATGAAGACACCATGTGCAACGTGCCATATCGAAGTGCTGTCGGAGGCATCATGTATCTCATGGTCGCCACACGTCCGGATCTAGCTGCTGCAGTGGGATCATTATCCCAGTTCTCGTCCGACCCATGCCCGACTCACTGGCAAGCTTTGAAGCGTGTGCTGAGATACCTGCAAGCAACGCCCAATCATGGTCTTGAGTTTACACGTGAAGAAGGAAGCCGTATCTGCGGGTACACCGACGCAGACTGGGCCGGCGACATTGAGTCAAGACGAAGTACAAGCGGCTATGTGTTCATGATGAACGGAGGATGCATCAGCTGGAAAAGCCAGAAACAACGGACGGTCGCGCTATCTTCAACAGAAGCAGAATACATGGCGCTTTCCGAAGCAACCAAAGAAGCAGTATGGCTCAAGGTGCTTTTGGGGGAACTTAATGAGATGACAAGCGACGAAGCGATCAAGATGTATGAAGACAACCAAGGATCAATCTCTCTCGCCAAGAACCCGGAGTTCCGTAAAAGAACAAAACACATCGACATACGCTACCATTTTGTGCGTGAGAAGGTGGAATCAGGTGAAGTCGTTTTGGAGTATTGCCCGACTCAAGATATGCTGGCAGACATGATGACCAAGCCGATCGCCGCTGTACAATTTGAAAACATTCGCGATCGACTTGGGATCCAAGGTGCCGCAGCTAACGAGTCGAGAGGGAGTGTTGAAAAGACAGCGGCTGTGAAGAAGACACCTCGTCAAGCTGCGTCAAGTGTTGAAGCAAGTGGAAGACCAAGCTTCGCTATACCGGTGGGTACCGGTATGTACCAGTAAGGGCGAAGTCAGGAAATGACGTCATTGGATGACGTCAGTGGGTGACGTCACTGGATGAGTCATGAGTCAGTGGGTGAGTCAGTGGGTGACGTCAGTGGGTGACGTCACTGGATGACGTCACTGCGAATAATAGGCTTAGAGGTAGTATTCAAAGTTGCGAACTAAGTACCTATTATAAATATATATTCACTTTGCGTTTTGCACTCGGACCAAGAAGTCTAAAGTTCATCACGACGCTTGGAATCCAATGGAGCACACATACTCGTCGAACGTCTCGTTCCACACTCGCGACGCTTGCTTGAGGCCGTAAATTGACTTCACCAATTCCAGGCAGTCGAACGTACTATCAAGGTTGACGCCTTCAGGAATCACACAGAACACTTGTTCCTTCATGACGCCATACAGGAAAGCCGTCAACACATCAAGCTGGTCATGGGCCATCCAAATGGCTTGGAAATTGCGACCACCATTCGCAGAGTCACATACTTGATCACAGGCGAAAATGTCTCCGTGTAGTCGATGCCGTACTTTTGGCGGAATACTTTGGCCACAAGTCGTGCCTTGTACTTCTCTATAGATCCATCCGCTTTACGCTTGATCTTGAAGACCCACTTCTTACCAATGGCGCGTTGTCCGTTAGGTAGCTTGGTTGCACGAACACACCGCGAAGTCGCATTGACTCGAGCTCCGCATGAATGCATTTCCGCTAGTGCACTTTGTCAGGGCTTCTCACTGCTGCCTAAAATGTTGACGACTCCAATAAACCCGCTGCTGTTTCTACGGCATTCGCACTCGCACGCCAAAACACAGGCGGAGTTGATTCATCAGAATTCTTCGTTTCTGCGTCTTCTTCTTAGCATGACGAGTTGCTGTCCAGCGTGCTTGACTCTTCTAGTCCAGGCCGTTGACTCACTGCACGCAGTCGTTGAGCAGCTGCATCTTCATCATCGAGGCGGCTCTTGCGCTTGCCTGTTTGCTTGTACTCTACCTGACGCGGCTCTTCATCATTGAGTAATTTGAATTCCAGGTCATCGGCACCTTCATCAGTGATCGGTGGTGGAAGTCCACAGGTGGATTCGTCGAAGTTGACATCACGATTGACGACCACCTTCCCCGCCTCAACGTCATAAACTTGATACGCCTTCGACGCTTCTTCGTAGCCCACGAGCATGCCAGCGCCAGCCTTTGGATCCCACTTGAGTCGATTCTCTTTCGCGTCAGTATGTGCGTCTGACATCCAAATGCTCGCATGTGCTCGACGCTTGGTTTCGAGTTGTAGACAATCTCAAACGGGGTCTTGTGTACATCTTTAGGCGGCGGCAGTCGATTCTTGACGTAGATGACCGTCATCGCTGCTTCAGCCCAGGAACACTTGTCCAGTTTGGCATGATGAAGCATGCTGCGGCCGATCGTGACAATAGTCCTAATGGCACGCTCTGCTGTTCCGTTTGTTTGATGCGCATATGCACCGTTGTCTGCTTTTCAATGCCTTCATCTTCGTAGAACAATCGAAGCGAGTTGGTTGCGAGCTCGCGGGCTCCGTCGTGTAGCACAAACTTGACCTTCTTACTCAACTGCGTCTGTACCATGGTTAAATATTTCCGGATGTAGTCTTCACTCTCGGACTTCACTCGAAAAAAACCCTTCACACATCCACTGGCTTCGTCTACGATCACTAGCAGATTTCTGCTGCCACCGAGCGATTCGTTTTTCATGGGCACACAGATGTCTAGATGAAGCAGCTCGAACGTATCGTAGTTACGCTTGTCGCGGTTGATTGGGAATGGTTTTTAGACCATTTTCCCTTGTTGGAACCCTCAACATGCAGTTGCTCCACCCGACTTCAGAGGGACTCGCACATCCTTGATCATGTTGGTCGTGATCATCTTGCGCAGTACATCGACTGGAGCATGACCCATTCGCGAATGTAGGTCAGCACAACTGTTTCCACTTGTTGTCACATTCGCTGATCGTTGAGTCGTACGAAGCCAGTAAAGTCCATCCACAAGATCCGCTGTCGCCACCACTTGCTGTGAGTTCTTGAGAGTCACATACATCTTGGACCCGTTAAACACGACTTGGAACTTGCCATGCGTGTTGATCTGTGGCACCAAAAGAAGGTTCTTGATAATACTTCGAGCATATAACGCTTTCTTGATCTTGATCTCGCGCTCTTCACCGTTGGGCAGAACCACCTTTTCAATGATGGATCCCACACCCTCGATGGCCGCTTGATACCATCATCCACCAGGATCTCGCCATCGTTTCCTTTGACCAAGCTGTAAACTTGTTTTTGTCGTGGCAAATGTGGTGCGTTTCACGACGGCCCATTCCAGACATGTCCTTGCTCGTCAAAACTCCACTTATTTTTAGACGAGCCTTCGTCCATCTTGATGCTGAAAAGTCGCCGATTAAGGAAGATGCGTTCTGCCTTCTGCGACCTACCGTACAGCGTCTTCAGACTTGTCCACGCAACACACGCTTCCTCGAATTTGTCAAGCACATGGTGGTAATCCGCATTCATGTGCAGCAGCATCATACCAAATGCGACATTGCTCGCCTTGACGTAGTCATCGGGCGCTCGAGGGTCGGTGAAAGTCGGAGTCGTTTCACGGTTCACGACGTACCAGACGGACTTCTTCAAAAACACACCGCGCATGTATCGACTCCAAGTCGCATAGTTGTCTCCATTGAACTTATCAATGAAGGCGTTGGATGATGAGTTGGTGGTTTACGACATGGCGCTCATACTCATAACCTGTTGCATTGCAAAGAGCGGAGCGAAGGGTGCGGAGAGGCTGAAGAGAGTAGAGCAGAAAACACTTGCCCAATAGTTGGACGATTCGGAAGTGATTGATTATCGGGGCTTACTACTTACTACATGATTTACATTGGTGTACATATAAATCATTTGAAGCGTCTCATCATCCGACGCGTTTAATCAACTATGGGTAATTACCGTAAGAACTACGTCGTAAAAGCTGAGCAGGCGGTTCAGATTGAACCGGTCAAGGTTACCAATACTGGTAGAAAACCGATGACCGTCAACACGTTCCCTCAATCCAAACGAGCTCAGATGCCTAGCGCCACTGTTAAGTCCTTGTGGCGCGGTCTGTGAATTCCCTTGGTCATAATGTCTGCCGACATCACCGTCGTCTCGCATTATTCAAGCTTCACTTCACCGCGCTTGACTTCATCGCGAATGTGATGGTATTTGATATCACTGTGTTTGGCGCGGCCGTGGTTGACCGGATTCTTGGTCATTTTGATGCAGGACAAGTTTTCTTCTCGGACCATGAGATCGGGTCCGTCCTCATTAGCAGCTGCCATGATCTCGCACAGTAAGCGGTGGATCCACTTGCCTTCTTGAATCGCCAGACTTAGCGCAATGTACTCCGCTTCACTTGTAGACAGTGACACACTTGGCTGCTTCTTGCTGACCCAACTCACTGGAGCACCCAATAGCATGAAGACGTATCCAGACGTTGACTTGCGATCAGTAAGGTCGCCGTCCCAGTCTGCGTCCGAATAGCCACGAAAGTCGATCCTTGCACTTGGCTTGGAGCATATTCCATGCATCTTGGTGTTTTGTAGGTAGCGAAAGATGCGCTTGACTGCAACCCAGTGTTCTTCTTGGGGACCTCCACGAAGCGCGACACAAAGCTCACAGCATAGGCAATGTCCGGTCGTTTTGCAGTCGTCAGATGCATCAAAGCACCAACAGCTTCACGGAATGGAACATCGATCTTGCTCGCTGTGCTGCTTGACATCAGTCAAGAACTGACATCCACAGGACTCGCCACAGCCTTGTTGATTGGTGAAAAGCTTGACGACCGAAACTGGGAGTGATGCTGGGAGTCCACTCGGAAGACCGGAGAAGACACTTGGGGGGTAGATGGAAGATTGGAAAGTGATTGATTATCGGGGCTTACTACTTACTACATGATTTATATGTGGTGCACATATAAATCATGTGAAGCGTCTCATCATCCTACGCGTCTAATCAACTATGGTAATTACCGTAAGAACTACGTCGTAAATACCAAGCTGAACGGGCGGTTCGGATTGGACCGGTCACGGTTACCAATACTGGTAGAAACCGATGACCGTCAACACGCCCCCTCAATCCGAACTCGCACGAATGCCGAGAGCCGTCGTCAAGTCCTTGTGACGAGGTCCCGAAAGTCCCTTGGTCATGATGTCCGCCATCATCACGGAAGTCTCGCAATACTCGAGCTGCACTTCACCGCGCTTGACCTCATCACGGATGTGATGGTACTTGATGTCGATATGCTTGGCTCGACCATGGTTCACCGGGTTCTTCGTCATCTTGATACACGACTGGTTGTCTTCACGGATGACGAGGTCCGGTCCTGGTTCGTTTGCGGCCGCCAAAATCTCGCATAGCAGGCGATGCACCCACTTGCCTTCCTGGATGGCCAGACTCAGTGCGATGTATTCCGCTTCACTCGTCGATAGTGACACGCTTGACTGCTTCTTGCTTCCCCAACTCACAGGAGCACCCATCAGCATGAAAGTGTAACCCGAAGTCGACTTGCGATCAGCGTGGTCGCCGGCCCAGTCCGCGTCCGAGTAGCCACGAAAGTCGATCTTGTCGCTTGGCTGGAAGCGGAGTCCGTGCGACTTGGTCCCTTGCAAGTAACGAAAGATGCGCTTCACCGCCGTCCAATGTTCTTGCTGCGGATTCTCCATGAAGCGCGAGACGTACCCCACAGCATACGCAATGTCCGGGCGCGTCGCAGTCGTCAAGTGCATCAAAGCTCCCACAGCTTCACGAAACGGAACGTCGATCTTGGCCGCTTCGGTGCTTGCGACAAGCCGAGTGCTCAAGTCGACCGGACTTGCTGTGGCCTTGCACTCATCCATGCCGAAGCGCTTGAGGATGTCGTTGACATACCGTCGCTGGCACATCGCCACGCTGCCATCCGATTCGTCCACCAGTTCAATGCCCAGTACAAAAGTACACTTGCCACTGTCGGTCATCTCGAAACGCGTCTTGAGGTCGGCCTTCGTCTGCGCAATCAACTCGAGCGAGCTGCCGGTGACCAACACGTCATCCACGTAGACCAGCACGAGCACACAGTGACCGTCGACAACCTTGATGTAGAGACATGGGTCGAACGCCGACGCTTCGAAACCGATAGAGCATACGAACTCGTCGAAAGTCTCGTTCCACACACGTGAAGCTTGCTTGAGACCGTAGATCGCCTTCACCAACTCGAGACAGTCGAAGTCGCCATCCATCTCGACGCCTTCTGGTATCACACAGTACACCTTCTCCTTCATCACTCCGTAGAGAAAGGCTGTCACCACATCGAGTTGGCCCAGTGGCCAGTCGAAATACTTGGTGATCGCGATCACCATACGCAGTGTCACGTACTTGACCACGGGCGAGAACGTCTCTGTGTAGTCGATGCCGT